ATGCTATATAATGATTGTAGTTCTTAAAGGGCCTAACTGCTGTTACTCTAATCTGTATGCAAAACAGTAGGCCGGTTTGAAAAATAAAAAGTAGTTCGAAAATGGGCTACCCTACTGCATCAGACAATGTATAATGATCATGATTACCTGATTTGTCGTATTATTATCTTCAAAAAATAATGGTCCAATCACATACCTCTTGTCATAGGCGTGCTCACGAGGGCCTGGCTGGGTTCATACCCCCCTCCATTGACCGTATTTAATTTAGATTCAGAACGTAGCAAGGAATCTATTGGTTTTACTATGATGTGTGTTTTTTTCTGCCTAAAAACAACATTTTGAAAAGAAATCTTGCTTCGGTGTATAAAAAGCAGGTAGGACCTTGTCGGAAAGGAAATTTGTTCTAGTCGGTGCAGTGTTGAGGTTATTTTTTGATTTTCTAAGGATTTTTAAAATAGTTGGGAAAGACCAATTTCAAGAATAGCATACTTTTTAAAAGAAAATTTTGTCTAGTTTGTGAGTAAAAATATCGTTTAATTTTTTAAATAATTTTTCATATAATTCTAAAAACACCGGGAAAAAACGGTAAAGTATACAGAATTTAAGTTTTTTGCTGTAAATCAGTAAAAAATTACTGTAGTAGAGACCCTTGTGAGTTTTTACAAATTCTTATATTGGCCTTTTATAGATGTGGTAAAATTTTAAAAATATTTGAACTTTTTTTTGGTATATGATATTTTCGAGTATTTATATACATTTTTTTTGGTAGGTATCTGTTATTGAAATTATATGACTTAAAAAAAATGATTGAAAATTTAATACAAGGTATATTATAATTTTATAAGTTGTACTTAGTGGTCTGAAAAATAAATTTGACTTTGATTTTTTTTTTTATTAGTGTTTTAAGATTAAATTTTGACGAAAATTTTAAAAACTACGGCATTTCAAAATGTGTCTTACCGATCTTTGTTCCGAATCGTCTTTCGTTAGCAATAGTTTAGCTTTGATTACAGATATAAAAATAAGTTTATGTATTTTACCTTCCCAACGATTTTTCCATTTATTATGAAAACCCCTGCAGAGAAAATAAAAAAACTACTTCCTTAAAGTACCACTCCAGTCAGATATCATTTCAGAAAAAATATTACATTTAAAAATGAGAGAAAAATGTTTAACAGAAAAGTTATTCAAAGAAAAAAAAAACAATCATATAAACATCATTGTCAAACCAATACATTTTTTGCTCCGCTCGAAATTTATTATAAACATCGTTCGTAAAGGAACAGTGTAGGTAATACGTATTAATTAGATACAAAAGATTTCATTCCAAATTCACTATTTTTACCAACCCCCTCATTTTTAACCTTTCAACGCATACAGGAAATTGGAAATTCCCTGAGTAGATTTATAAAAAATCTGGTTAACTCAAAACAAACAGAAAGAGCTGTCCTAGGATAATGGGGACGGACGCAGACACTGTTATAGGCAATTCAATGTATATCTGAAAGCAACGATTAACTATTGCTAACAAAAAAAAAAAACGATTCTGAGGGGAGTTCGGTCGAAAGTGTTGCTTTGTCAATAATACGTATGACATATTATATATTTTCTTTAATGATATTTATATAATAATTGATATTGTACCTAATTCCCGTTTTTCCAGGTTTTTTCTCGGTTTTGTCCTCATTTGTTATGAAAACAGCATGGACAAAACAAAAAACGACCTCCTCAAAGTACCTCCCCTGTCAGATTTTCTTTTAGAAAAAGTGCTGCCGTTGTAAATCGGAGCGAAATTGCTGGTAGAAAAATAGTCGACGGAAAAAAAAAAAAAATATGTTTCGTTTTCGTTTCCTTAGCTCTTGTTGAAACAATCGCCATCATCGTTCACCTACACGTGCGTGCGCGTTGTTAAATAACAATATTGGAAATTTCGCTTTAGCGGATGGCACACATTCATCGGCGTGTGTGTCGCATGGGGTTTTTTTTCCTCGTTCAGCGCGCACCCAGCCAACGATATAGGCAATGGCAACACGCCGTCGTCGTCGTCGTCGTCGACGGCTCCATTGTTCGTCAGTCCGTGTCTATTATGCTCGGCGCACAATGCACGAATGAGTTTTAATAATTTACGATAAGATCGTACGCGAATCGCGCGCGTTCATAATAATATAATATACGGCCGTTAATAACAGCAAAATAGTTTTAGCCCAACTGTACTGTGAGTTATGAGTTACCGCGGGTGCATACGTGTTATAGGTGTGCGTTCGCGGTACGACCTATTATTATATGTACAATATTGGCACGGCCGCTCGAACGCGAACATATTTAAGTAAAATACCGAAATTCGTTTTTATTACATTGCTAATATAGGAATCCGTATATACCGGGGAATATAGTCCCCCGTCCGACTGGCATCGAAGGCTAATGTTCGCCCCTGTCCTTCGTCCCGGTGAAGAACGGCTCGCGATTCTCAATTCCGTACGGTTTCCAATAACACGAGCGAATTAAATTTCGAAAACAATCGCCGAACGGGCCGAATGCCCGTGGGATGGGATCGCAATACTCTCGCGGTCGTAAAGTCGACAGCCGCGGATTAAACAGTATGATGATAGGAGTTCTAAATAAGACTCGAAGAACGAGTAGAGGCGGGTAACACTTTAATGAAAGGGACTAAGAATAAGTAGAAGTAAAATAGAGTATTAGTATGGAGGAAAAGGTAGGACAAGACACCTAACGACAACAAGTAGTGGCGCAATAGATGAATTTGAGAGTTTTAACTTTTTAAGTACCTAGAATGTTTTGTATAAAAGAACGGTGGCTTCGAAAAGGACGTGAAACATGCCACGGAGAAAGAGGAGTCAGAAGCGGTAAACAAACAAACGTAGGAGGAAAGTGGAAGAGGAAGGACGAAAAAGAGGTGGTCGGATTGAGATTGATATGAGAACAGCGGAGTATATGCGAAGTGGGAGATCAGGTCAAATGGAAGTTTAGGACGAGAGTGGGGGACCTCAAATAGTTGTGACGAAGGCGATGGAGAAGAAGAAATGCTTGACGGTATGGGCGCCCGGAGGGGGCGAGAGGGGATATTTGCACCCCATCAACAACTCCTTCATGGACTTCAACATTTCAAACATAATTTTAACAATTAATAAATACAATTTTATTTTAGGTGTATTTTGGCTTTTGATTTTTATTATGCCCATAGGATACATTTCCCATGGGCGCCCGTGCTGGACGGATTAACTTAAATGGCCTGATCCGTATAGTCATAATATGAATATGCCTTTTTTGCCAGACAAAAAGTATTTGCTCACAATTAGCAGGTAACACTATTAATTGTCAGTATAACACAATACGTTAGACAGTAGAGGTACATTAGGTGCAATTAACATAAACCTATGGGCTTTTAGATCGAACAAATAAATGGGAAAAATAACAGAGAAAAAAAAAAATTGTCAACGATTAAAGTAGGCCGTGGGGAAGACCTTCGTTTCCGGACCAAAGATTTATCGCGTTTATTGTCGAAAAAATCTGTCGGACGTTGAACAACACGGATATTTATCGGTAACGAAGTGACCGACACGCCAACAGTGGCTTAAAAATACAACAACTTAATGAGTAGGTACCTATTAATTATTGTTTACGTTTCCGTCGGTCATCTATAGTTCTTATTAATACTTAATTTATTGTCGAGCACTATAATTTTATGTTTTTTTTGTTTTTCCTGAAGCGTGTTCCGACGGGGAAAAATAAATGTTAATTCACCGTTTTTCGTATGGGACGTATCGACCGTTTCTACGAGGGTAAAAACACGATGACATCCTCGAGTCGGGAGTGGTCACGGTGTCGCGAAATATTTGATTGTGCTATCGTTCCCGTAGCGAAGTGTCCACGCACAAATTTTATCGACCGTTGGAAACCAATCGATTTCTCATTTTGACGCCGCGGCGAAAGCGACGGCGGCGGCAATACCGGAATCGCGCGCCCCTACCATTGATAAAAGGAACGTCGCCGCTAACGGGCGACACTGAAGTGCCGACCGGCCTCGGCGTCGTAAGCGCCGCGTGACGATGCCACTTTTTTAAACGACACAACTGTGACCGAGTAAAACAGAAGAGACGAATGGCGAAAGGGCGAGTGACGACTGAGCGACTGGCCGAACGTTGTCCGGTTGGACGTCATAAGCATTTGTCGTACTAAAACATTATGTATAATGTACCGTACTGTATTTGTATTACTGTAAAATTGTCGTCGCACCACACGGTGGGCGTCATATCTACGTCATAGTACCTACATCAGAAAAAAAAAAATACCGCTGCGCGAAAACATGTACTGAAAAGACCGATTTCGGCGACAGCCGGTAGAGATCGCTGAGGGTGTGGACCGTGGACGGCCGAACAGCGTTTCGTCGGGCCGGTTACGAGTCGCCGCGTCGAATTATCCACTCCGACGCACGGTGCGCGCGATGTACATTATTACACACACACGCATACACAAATACACACACACACACGCAATCTCAATTCGCCCACAGTATACTTATCTATGCTCGCCTACTCTTAATTACAACTACTGGCACTCGTCTCAATCATATGATCGAGACGAGGCCGATTTAGTTGGACTGATAAGACTGATGAGATTACGCGAAATAATCAAATTCCGAATGGTTTGGTTTGCGACGTTCGCGTGAAACTCACAGAAAACCGTCCCGGAAAACTGAATCCGACGATGCGATTGAAAATTATCATTGTAAAAATTACCAAACAACAACCAGAAAGTTATACGACACAACCTAGTTCGGACAGCGGGGAAACGCCCCGTTCGGTAGGTCGGCGGAGAGGGACGGAACCATAGAAGATAGGAAAAAGTTCGAATTTCGTTATCATTTCATTATATTATTTTTGTGCGTCAATAACTCTGGAGACACGTGTGGCTCGCTCTGTTGGCCCGGGACTACCGGTGGCGTTTGCGTCACACAGTGTGACCAACGAGTATTCATACGGAGTCGATTGGTGTCGAGTCGTCGACGACAGAATGTGCGTGCATGTGTATGTGTATGTGTAGTGTACGCGACAGACGAGACGGTGATACGAGTGTCGGAGAGGAAAACTGAATTGGGGAAAGAAAAAATTGAAATTAAGTCAGTCCGATAAAAATCCCGAGGAAGTGTTGTGTATCTCGCTCCGGTCGTTCACACTGATAAATTTTTTCTCAGTAAAAATATTGTTTCTGCGTGCGAGCGTATTGTTTCACGGCCAAAAGGAGTACCTACACAACGAACACTTTCGACGCCGCTAAACTCCTTCGTCATGTCCACCATCGTCACCGCTTCCGTAACGCACTGAGTCCCGACCGAGAGGAGGGCTTCTCATAGAGGGACTCTTTGAATGACTTCGTCACGCCACTGCAGCAAGGTACGATCCCCGACTCCCAGACACTACCTGATTAGGATTCGCGAAAAACTTTGGACGATTCCTTTTTCTCGGGTGCATACTAATAGTGGACGAAGGGGTGTATGTTCATTGATAACCGTTTCGGCGAGTTCTCCCCCAAGCCCTTTCTGTACCCGTTTTACGGGTGGGGGGGTTGCTGATTCGCCATAGACCGTACAGGAAACTGCCCATTAAACATAATCAAATTTAATGTCACCTTTGTAGTGATCATTGATTACAATTTTATAATAGGTACACATAGATTCTCTCATTCCCGTAGTGACAAAACGTATTAAGACGCTGCACTAGCCCAGTAGATTGATTATGGGTTATTAAGAGAATTATTCTGTGGAGCCATTTTTAGTAACTGTTAATTTATTAATCATTCTACTATCTATTATATGTTATAGGTTCTGCTAAATAGGGTGTAAAGTATATTGTTTAATACTTTTTTCAACTATAATAATTATGCCGGCTGTCAGAGGAGATGGTATGCGGGGATTAGCTGTTTTTATTTCAGACATCAGAAACTGTAAGTTACTGTTATACGCCCTGAATAATTTATAAAATTGTAAAATTATTAAAACTTTCTGTGCAAATAATCAGACACATTTGAATTGTTTAAAATATGTAATTTTTTAAACCTAGTATGAAAAGTATATTTTTGGGTTTTTTCATTTAGAAACTGCTTACTGTCATTAAATGTACCTATTTATATTTTTGAAATTTTTGTAATTAAAACAGATACCTACCTCATTGTATGTTCTAGATTTAGGTATGTATATATAGAGGTATACAACTAATTTTAAATAACAAAATGAAAAATAAATATATAGGTGTATTACTTATATCATAGTAACTACTAACCACCCACATTTAATCAATTTAATCAAATTATTTAAAACAAAATAATGGGTACTTTTATTATAATACAAATATTTTATTATTAATTTATCACCTTGTTTACTACCTAATTAAAGTTTATTTGAATCAGTATTACAAATGTAGTTATTAGTTATTAGTTATTATTCATAAATTATTGCATTTAAATAATATAACATAAATAAATTCCACACATTAAACAGAAATAACATAATGCTCAGAGATAATTTATTTATCTCCTGATAAGAATTTGTACAACAGTTTTTGTATTATTGTATAGCTATTTGTAAACAAATTGAAAAAAAAAATACATGTTATTTATAATTTAATGTGGTTTGTGTAATATGTTGATATTGATAATCATTTTAATAGAATTATATTTATTATTTTTTTTTTATTACTGTTTAGATTATTTTTTGATACTTAATTGTTTTTAATTTTTAGGTAAAAGTAAAGAGGCAGAAATAAAGAGAATTAATAAAGAATTAGCAAATATTAGGAGCAAGTTTAAAGGGGATAAAACATTAGACGGATATCAAAAAAAGAAATATGTATGCAAGCTCTTATTTATATTTCTATTGGGTCATGATATCGATTTTGGCCATATGGAGGCTGTCAACTTGTTATCTTCCAATAAATATTCTGAAAAACAAATAGTGAGTTTATGTCACCCACATGTTTTTTATTTATCAGCCATATTTAATATTTTAGATTAAAAAATCATTAGAAATGCATTGGGTTTCTGAATTGTTTAAATGAGCTATCTTAAAATTTAGATAAATCCATTTTTTGTTTGGAATTTATTAGAAATTAATTATATTGAGAAAATAAAATTATTTGGTATTTATAATCATATAATAATGACATACAAATATTTTGTGAAATTAAAATTAAGAATATTTTAAATATAAATTATTTCTTGAGCTTTGAATCCAACTTTTATTGGTGCACTCTTTTCTTATTTTTAAATTGCCATGCAGATTTAATATGCATTCAATTATCATTCACATATTTAAATCAATTTTTATAATGTTTTTCATTTTTATTTTTCTAGGGTTATTTGTTTATTTCAGTATTAGTAAATACAAATAGTGATTTGATTAAACTTATAAATCAAAGTATTAAAAATGATTTGCAATCAAGGTACGTTTATATTTTTTAATTTTAAATTTTCTCTATTTTAGTATTTAATACAAGATTTTTTAAACAAATTTTAGGAATTCTATTCATGTAAATTTAGCAATGCAATGTATTGCTAACATTGGTAGTAGGGATATGGCCGAAGCATTTGGTTATGATATACCAAAGCTGTTGGTTTCAGGGTATGTGTATTTCAGATTATGTACTGATTATTTAAAACAATTATGAACTTGTTACCTATATGTTTTTATCTGTTTTTGTTGTTTAGAGATACTATGGATGTGGTCAAACAGTCTGCAGCATTATGTTTCCTTCGATTATTACGTACTAACCCTGATGTCATACCTATAGATTCAAATGGTGCAAGTGAGTGGACGTCCAGAATTGTTCACTTGTTAAATGATCAACATTTAGGTGTAGTCACTGCTGCCGTTTCACTTATTGATGCCCTTGTCAAAAGAAATCCAAAAGAGTACAAGGCTTGTGTCAGTTTTGCAGTTTCAAGGCTTTCCAGGGTAATAAAAGTATATTTTATATTGTGTATTCATAATAAAAAACAATTTTATCTTTTTTTTTCATAGATCGTAACAGCTAGTTATACAGATCTTCAAGACTATACTTATTATTTTGTTCCAGCCCCGTGGTTATCTGTTAAATTACTTCGACTTTTACAAAATTATTCAACTCCTGGTAAACATTTTATTACTCATCATGGTGGTTAAACATATTTTTAATTATTTTATTCTTTAAATATTTAACAGAAGACGCAGGTGTAAGAGTTAGGTTGAATGAATGTTTGGAGACTATTTTGAACAAAGCACAGGAAGCTCCAAAATCAAAAAAAGTACAACATTCCAATGCTAAAAATGCTGTATTATTTGAAGCTATTAGTCTTATTATTCACAATGACAGGTAAATTTATTATTAAAATTCTTGTTTTTATTATGTTTTTATCATTCCTTTTTTTCAGTGAACCAAATTTACTCGTAAGGGCATGTAACCAGTTGGGTCAGTTTTTGTCTAACCGAGAAACAAATTTGAGATATTTAGCTTTAGAGTCAATGTGCCTTTTGGCTAATTCTGAATTCTCGCATGAAGCTGTGAAAAAACACCAAGAAGTTGTTATTTTGTCAATGAAAGTAAGTTATCTGTACATGTATTGGTGGATAAGTTTTTATATTAATTTTGTATTTGTGATTAGATGGAAAAAGATGTTTCGGTTAGACAACAAGCAGTTGATTTACTGTATGCTATGTGTGACAAATCAAATTCTGAGGAAATAGTTCAGGAAATGTTAAACTATTTAGAAACTGCTGATTACTCGATAAGAGAGGAGATGGTAAGATTTTTAATATCTATTTTTGTCTTATCATATTGTTACATGGAAATTTGGTGTTAAGGTATTGAAAGTAGCTATATTGGCTGAGAAATATGCAACTGACTATACATGGTATGTGGATGTGATACTGAATTTAATTAGGATAGCGGGAGATTATGTTTCTGAAGAAGTTTGGTACCGTGTTATTCAAATTGTCATTAATAGAGACGATGTACAAGGTTATGCTGCTAAAACTGTATTTGAGGTACTTTTATTATATAATTTTGTTTAATAATATATTAAATAATGATTATTGTATTTACAAGATTAACACATATCTCATAATTGGTTATTATTATTTGATCTCCACCTGAAATTTTTTAGGCGTTACAAGCACCTGCTTGTCATGAAAATATGGTTAAAGTAGGTGGGTACATACTTGGGGAGTTTGGCAACTTGATTGCTGGTGATACACGATCCGCACCAAACGTTCAATTTCAACTATTACATTCCAAGGTAGAAATCAAAAATAAAAAATAAATTTTAAATATAACAAAAAAAAAATAATTTAAGTATGATAAATAATTTATAGTACCATTTGTGTTCACCAATGACTCGAGCATTATTATTGTCAACATATGTTAAATTCATAAACTTATTTCCTGAAGTAAAGACTACTATACAAGAAATACTTAAACAAGACAGTAATTTACGAAGTGCCGATGCTGAACTACAACAACGAGCGTCTGAGTACTTACAGTTGTCAAAAATCGTATCTACTGATGTTCTAGTATGTAGCTGTGTAGGCATTGAGTAAAACACTTATTAAATTCTCGTTTTTAATATTAGGCCACTGTATTGGAGGAGATGCCATCCTTCCCAGAACGTGAATCATCAATATTAGCTGTTCTAAAAAAGAAAAAACCTGGTCGTGTACCAGATAATGAAACTTTAGAAAACCGTAGTCCACAAGCTTCTCCTATAAGCCATCAGAATAATCATGTTAATAATCACACAAATGTAAGTCAACACTAATGTTAAAATTGTATAACAATTGTTTTTTTTTTAATTTTCATACATCTTGAAACAAATTTTTTGCAGTCTAACAGCAATTCTGCAGATCTGCTAGGTTTATCAACACCGGTCACCACATCCACACACTCTAGTAATGCTAATGTATTGGTTGATGTTTTGGGAGACTTATATGGTGGCGGAGGCTCAGCTGGCTCAAACTCTTTAAATGCCAGTCAAAATAATTATAATCCTAAAAAGTAAATATACTTCACATCTAAAATAAACAGTTATGTTAGCATAAATACATGTTTTCTCCAGACTTGGAAAAAATGGTTCAATAACTGTATTTATGTAACAGATGTGAAAAAAACAAACAAATTTATAAAATCTTTTGTTTTCTTATGGTTTTATCAATTATTTCGAGCTTGAAGCATGCTTTATATACACAAAACAATTTTGCTGGCACACCTCTTTTATTAAGTCATGATACTTGATAATTATTAAATTATGGTACACATGTTGCATGATTTTAAAATTTTTTTATTGTATAGATTCATTTGTAAAAACAATGGAGTACTGTTTGAAAATGAATTAATTCAAGTGGGTGTTAAATGTGAATTTAAAAGAAATTTGGGGCGTCTAGGTTTGTTTTATGGAAATAAAACTACTATACCATTGCAGGTATGTCTTAAGAAACATAACATATACGTAGAAAACATATTTTGGAACAATATTCTGTTTTAGAATTTCGCCACAGTATTATCTAGTCCACATCTTTGGGTCACCAAATTGGCAATTCAAATTAAACCTATTGAACCGGTTTTAGAAGCTGGTGCTCAAATACAACAGTTGGCTATTATTGAGTGTGTAGAAGAGTATACAGGTTGGTATTTTGATTGTTATTTTATGTCATAAGTAATATTGCAATGAAATTGATTAATAATATTCAAATCATTTGTTTTGATTTAATATGTTTTAGATACACCTGTTATAAATGTATCGTTTGTGTACAATGGCGTACCACAAAATGTTTCTGTCAAACTCCCAGTAACTTTAAATAAGTTCTTCGAACCAACTGAAATGAATAGCGAGTCTTTCTTTGCTCGATGGAAGAATCTTGGCAGGTACGTAATTGATGATAATATACTGTAATACAGTAAAACATTTTTGTGATACTGGCAGCATAATTGACATACCTGATTTAATGACCTCAATATTATTGGGCTCAGCTATGTTAGTTTGTATTGATTATTTTGACTTTCATACAGAGATCGTACCGACTAATTAATATCAGTTTGTCTAGCAAATATTTTTATTTAGAATTAAGTAGATATGTTAAAGTAATCAAGTGCTGCATATAGGTTTTATTTAAAAAAATAATTAATTCAATTATTCAACTATGAATGTTATAGTTGTAATTTGTCAATTGAAATATTTTGATTAACAGATATTAATTATTGAAATAATAATTTTATTTTTGTTGGACTGCAGATAATTTATTTTGACTAATTTTTTATAGTCTTATGTCGTTAGAACAATTTCCTCTATACATTCTGTTTATATGATTATTTAATTAACTTTTATGTTTTAGTAATCATGATCCGCAAAAGTCGCAAAAAATATTCAAAGCATCACAGCCAATGGATCAGGTATCTACTAGGACGAAACTCTCTGGATTTGGTATGCAGTTACTGGATGGCATTGATCCAAATCCTGATAATTTTGTGTGCGCTGGTATTGTTCATACAAAAACGCAACAGATAGGATGTTTGTTACGTTTAGAACCAAATAAACAAGCTCAGGTATATATATATATTTAATTCTTGTTGTTAAAGGACAAACTAAAGAATGAATTTAGTTGATTATAAAATTATTTTCAACTAAAAGAAAAACCTTCGAAAAATGTCATGTCAAAATATTGTATCATAATTTCTAGAATTTGAAAACTATTTTTGAAATTTTAATGACCACCTTAATAGTAACACCTTTTTACTAATCTACTTCTTGATACCTATTTAAGGGGAAGTCTCCTTCCCAAGACAAATTTTTGGGCAATCTTAAACAAGTGTCTTCACTTATAATCATGTATTTAAGTACAGAGGTAGCCAAAAGTCGCGCAATAAATTTGCAACACAGTTTTTATAAAACTGTTGTGTTTTATGTTAAATATGTTGTTTTCTTATAAACCTTGCTGTTGTTGTACGTAAACAAAATAACAAGACCAAAGTTGCAATATGATGTTACGGAAACGACTATTATTACTACTGCGCTGTAATGCGCGTTCCATACAAGACGGTAGGCGTTGCGCGACTTTTGGCCACCTCTGTAGTTATAAATCTATCAGTCCAATAATGTACATGTATTGGATACTTAAAAAAAAATATTTAATTGTGTGTTGATTATACAATAAGAAGGAATTATCATTTTTTTTTTTTTATGTTTATATATATAGATGTATCGTTTAACTGTGCGATCCAGTAAAGAACCAGTGTCAATTGAAATTTGTGATCTTTTGGCTGACCAGTTTTGAAATTCTGGTAATAGTTATTAGTCATGTTAAAAACTTACTGGAATATTGAATATTTTTTTTTTTTTTTTTGTGGTTTTGAATTATTGTTTTATACATATAAGCGCACACTCGCCATGCATACACATATAAATCTAAAATAAGCAAATGAACCTACATTAAAATATTCTAAGTCTGACATCGTATAGTTTATATTTTATTATATTTCTTTGTGTAATTTATTTAACTATTTTATTGTAAACTATTTTATATTGTATGTGTATGTATGTATGTGAATAACTAGTGTTGTCAGAATCCCAAAGATGTTAAGTGGTAAAATTAAAAAAAGAAAATTATTTATAATTGAAAATTAAAATTTAGGTTTATGTTATAAATATCGTCTTCATTTTTATTTTCAACTACCCAAAACTACTGATTAGCAGTACTATGTATGATTATTTTCCCCTGTGTATTGTAAACTATTCAACATTTAATATCCAATAAAAATAAATTATTATTATTTATTTTTAATAATGATACTTCTTATTTAATGTTTTTTCTTCAAAACTAGGCTACTTATTATTTATGTTTTAGAAGTTACCACAAAGACCATTAAACCAACACATTTTTAAATATTACTGTATAAAATTAGAAGGTTCGATAAATAAAAAGGAAAATATTAAAAAAATAATATCTTACAGAACATTGTAAATATAATATTTTATATTAGAATAGTAATCAATAATTATTAATTATATCTGCTAATATTATATATATCCTACATAGTTATTGTGCAAAATATGTCGTAACACGTAAACAAAATATTGTTTTAGTCACTAGGCTAGTATATTTATTATGCCATTTAAACTATATATATACCCAAGTCTATATTTCGTTTTAATGGATATTGTACAAAATTGTCACTTTATTTGATATATAAAAAAAAATAATATTTATCAGAGTTAAAACTCATAATATAATATTAAGTTTTATAAAATTCCAAAGGGTGACTTTATATTTGCTATTTACCTAGTTTTATAAATTATGATTCTCATACAGTGATCTAGTGGGTTATAATATATAATAGTAGTAATAATTATTATGAACATATAATGTAGGACCCAATAATCTCGATGATACAACTTTTTCTTCCTAAATATATATTATATTATATTCCCTTTTCTATTTATTTTTTTGCTTCTCTGATTTAAGACTACCTATCAATCTTCCCAGACTTGCTTGTTCTCATAGCTACTCGTAAACAAGGCATATCTTATTAAAATTTGATAACGGTATATTATCATAATATTATTGATGATTCTGCAATATACAGGATATGTTTTTAAATCAATTTGTCCGGTTTAATATTGTTATCAACTTCCCCTCCACTTCTATCATATAAAATAATATAACTTTCAACTATAATCTAAATTTATTATATTTAATACTCTATACTTACATGATGTTTAATAAGGACATATTTATTAATATACAATAATCTTATATAGCTTTGTTAATGATATATTTATTATTATAATATTTTTATGTTCTATGTATGACAGTGTATTTATTATACGTATATATATTATATTGTAAAAAATTAATAATAACTTGACATGTGATTCATCCTTTTATCCTATTTATTTATATAGAATATTTTTTATTTTTATTCTTAGACAACTCTAAAAAAATTATCTAAGTATAAATTCCCGTTAATTAAAAGCAAATAACTGAATTATAATATATAAAACTATTAGTAATTATGATTTATTTTAATTGTATGTTATTTTATACTACGTTTTTTTTTTCTATTTAATTTATTTTTATGTGAAAATGTAATAACAATAATAATTGACGGTTATAATTATTTGTTTTTATAAAATATTATTCAGATAGCTTTGAAACACAGCAGTATTAACACCAAAATTACGAGGAATACTTACAAATTGTTGACTACCTAACTAGAAAATATGTGTACAGAGCCCGTGTTATTAGAGATAATAATATATATTTTTGTTTAATAATAACTAAATTGAAATAAAAGTATATTTATTAGTGTCATGTAAACCTTTTGTTATTATATTATTCAATTCTGAACATAAAAAGAACTATTTTTTTTTTTTTGCTATTTATTATCATTTTTATTGTTTGCATTGTTTTATTTATATATTATTATTTATATTGATTATTATTGTTATTTAAATCCCAATTATTCTCAATTACTTTGTGTGACAGATATAGTTTTATTTAACATAATGTCACCTTTGTAAATCCATAGTTAATATTTTATATTATTAATTTGTCCATTATTATCTGTAATAAACGTGTACTCATATATCCAGTCATTTGTTTTAATGTTAACTATTTTTATTTATAAATTATAATAATATACCATCTAACATCCGATCACATAGTTGTAAATGTGGTAAAATCCCCGAAGGATAATAACTGTTATTACGTAAAAAAGTACTTGTCTCCAAATTGTTAAGTGAAATCAAAGAACGACCTCCAAAATCAAGCAGATACAATTCGGCCTCGCAAAAATACTACACTCGATCGAAAAAACAAGATATTTTGGTAGGAAAGTTGTTTAACACAGCGGTTCTCAAACTATGGTACGCGGTTAGGTTAGTACACAGAGGCCGCATTGTAACAGTATGAAAACAAATTAATATTCGTAAAAATGTTTTGAACGAATTGGATTTGGAGTATTTTACTGTTTTATACTCTTATTATTTTGAAATAAATGTAAAGAAAAAATATGAATAGTTCAATTATAGTTATAAGTGACAGGAGCAAAAAAAGTTTAAGAACCTCCGGTATTAAAAATGAACAAGGAAAATAATATATTTTTGTTTTAAAAACAATAAAAAAAAAAAAACCAAAAATGTACTGTTTTACATATTTAAAATTGTCATTTTATATTTTATTGTAACTGTATTCCGTTATATGACATAAACATTTGAACAGACCTATTATGGGAAAAATCGTATTTTGGGTTGGAAAAACAAATGGCATCAGAAATAATCAGTTTAAAATCAGATTAGACAGTGAAAAATATTATGATAAAACAGTTGACAGCGATTGCGGACATTAATAACGCACTTTAAATTATATTGACTGGAGTAAACATATTATCACAGGAACAGTCCAAAATGGGCAGCATACATTTCTTGCACTTAATCGATCTATCGAAAAATGAATAGCACGACTTCATTATTTCAATATTACGTTGGCGGTGTTTGTCGATGGTGGTCAACGGTTTCGGGTCTAAATCGCCCACCTTGACGCGGACAGCGTAACGGCAGCCATCAAACTTGATGGTGGCGCAGCCGTCCGCGTCAATTGTTTGGCAAAACGTCACGAACACGGAACAATCGCGGGCGGTAACGGCCATCAAGTAATTGTCTACCGGTTCGGTAATTCGTTTGTAATGATCGGGGGGAGACTGTAGGCGAGAAACATGGCCAAACAGATCGGCATCGAGTCCGCACTTTGCGAGTCTTTTATACTTTTCGCACACTTTCGAAAAACCGCAAGTTTGCGCTTTTTGCATAGCCAGTATGCTTTGGAGCACACAGGTACTGGGCATCGGCTTCGTGTTGAAGTTGCACACTCGGTTCTTCGGATATGCCGGATGTTCTTGGCTATCGTCCTCGTCGACGTCCAACGGCACTGGTAGATCTTCTATGCAATCGCCGAGCAGTGCGGCAGCGACAAATCGCGCCAACCACGAGGCACGGCCACCAAATAACGTCGTGCAGTCGGACCAATCGACCGGAACACCGTCCATGAACATTTTCAAGTTGTTCTGTGGAGTCTGGAGCAGTGACTTCACGGCGTGTTCAATTCGTAATCTACAGCCGGAAAACAGGTCCAACGGGCAGTATCGGCTGAACTCTCTTGTTTTCAGCACTTTCGTGAACTGTTGGCTGCAGAACGCACACTTAGAGCCCAAGCCGAAATTCGACATGGCGACCCTGTCGGCGTCAATTAACCAGCCCTGTTTGGGTTTGATTTCGACGCAGTACACCGGTCCAACATTGACTACGGTTCGTGGCAACAACGTGTAATCCGCGTAGACAGTCACCATGCCGCCGGCACTCCACAGACGTTTGTGGATCCGGTCGTGCGGCCTGATGCTAATGAGGCGATTGTCTAGTTCACGAAGATCTTTGACGGGCATGGACGTTAGCAAAGGCACATCCGCGTAATCCGCGAAATACATCTGCCGGATCATGCGGCAAAATTCCATTTGCGCATTTAGCATTAAGGACTTTTTCATATGGTCTTCGCTATCTTGAACTATATCATATTTCAACACTCGCATGATCACCCTGTCATCGTTATCGGGCAAGCCAAGTATGATGTTGGCGTTGCCCTCTCCTTTGTAATAATAACGTGAATGGTCGGACATCATTATCAACCTATAATCGTTGTCGGACTCACTGATCCAGCTTGGACCCGCCATGATCACAGTTGACAATTAATTTTCTTCTCCTCCGAATAAACAATAAATTATCAGCATTCACTGTCTATATTACAATTTTTATTTACTAACACTAATATTTAATAATTTTTTTTTTTAGAGTAGTTTGGTACTATAATATTTTGGACTTGACTTGAATGTTATCACTTTGCGGCCAAATAATTGTCCACGGCCGAGTTGAATTTTTCGATGTATCTTAAATGAATATTGTGTTTTCCGTCCGGATACACTTCAAGCCTGTAACAGACAAAACGGAATAGGTAAGAATCAGTGGCATCATTTGGAATTCGCAAGGTATACAATTTTGTATTTAAAATCCAATATTAAAGTAATTTTCACCAATAATGGATAGTAGCTTGCGTATTATCAGTCTAAATAGAATTTTTATTGTTAAATTAAAACTGAAAACATGATTAGGATATTATGTAGATTTTGTTCAAGATTATCAAGTTCTTTGTAATCGTAATAATTTGTGAATGACTTTATTAGTTCTTACTTAATGATATATTACATGGTTCAATAGATTTGTTGGAAAATATGTGGTTTATAGTGGATTCCGTTTAATATGAGCACATTGAGATCAATTAAATTTACCCACTTAACATTTTAATTGAAATGTGTACCATTATATGTTAGAATTGGTTACAGACTATTATGTCTATATTAGGTGGCTGCCCGCAATTGACTGGTGGCCACATTAAGCGAAATCCACTGCATTTTATTTTTGTGGCGTTGAAAATTACAGAAAGTACTTGTGACATGCATATTTTAAAAAAAAAAAAAAAAACTGCAATGACAAAAAAACACTGGTAAGAATCTCTGCATTATTATAGTTTTGATTATGAGCATTATCTTTGGATTATTACACGAGTACGGTGATTAATATATTGGTTGTATACAAAAAACAACACAATAACATTATAAACTGTTAGACTAGGATAATAAAATCAGAATACATTGAAAATGTTTAAACATTTTAAAATGGGATAATTTTATTTTTTTGTCTCTCAGGTACCTACTATTCAATAGACCATCACAGTAATTTCAGGAAGTCTACAAGTGTTGGGAATAATTTCCTTGTCATAAAGGTATTTATGATATAACTGATAGATAACATTTAAAAACAGCTTTACAAAAAATACATAATTTTTCCTTTAAAATATATTTTACAGAATACACATTTGGGGAAAGCTAGTATTAGGAAATTAAAACCAATAATAAAGATAAGTAGATGATATTTTCATATTATAAAAACTTGAAAATGCAACTATTAAGTTTTTGAGTTAATCACATTATCACCTGATTTATTTTTTTCATAAAATAAAACTAATAATTCTATCAACTCACGATCCATGTTTAATGTTTTTATGTAAATAAACTGGGTGTTCCATAGGCACTAAGGGGTCTTGAGCACCATGCAAAATGAGGGTGGGAGCTCTGATTTTAGGTAGTGCTTCTCGACAAATATCTCCTTTATTTTCTCTGAGTATTGTCTGAAAAGAATCTACCCAAGCACTCCAGGTCTTCGAGAAATATTTTTCACCATAGAGATCGATAAAAGGCTGTCTCATGCGTGGAGACCACTTTTGAATATCTCGTATTTTCTCGTATAATTCAACATCTTTTTCAGTAACATAAGCATTACTACCCCAAACTATAATTTTTTCCACTCGATCGACAGCTTTGGACGCCAATATAAGTGCAGTGATACCGCCGTCACTCCAACCCAACAGTGAATATTTTTCAATTTGCAACGCCTATGCAAATTGTACAATTTGCAGATTAGAAAAACATGAAAGGAATGGAAATAGTGTTAAGTGATATTTACATTCATAAGAGAAATGGCATAATCGGCATCGCGGTAGAAAAATCCAGATGAAAAATCTCTGTCTGGTGGTCGACTATAGCCATAACCAGGTGGATCCCATGCGACAATTGTATATTTATTTTGATCAAAAGTTTCAATTTGTGGCTTAAAATCAGTAAATATGGAACCTAAACGACATTGATATAGTATATAATATTATACACAGTTTGTTAGTACAATGATTACCTAATGCTCCTGGTAATAACAACAATGTCTGTGGTCCTTTTCCGATTTTCAAATAATTAACTTCAATATTATCAACTTTGATTTTTGATGAAGTCTATAAACAATAAGGCACATTTTTTTCAATCAATAACTTATTTAAATAAGGACAACACAATTTTTATCTACATTATAAGGGAAAGTCACTAGCTTTAATCTAGTGTTTGATAGTTTTAAACACTTTGATCGTTCAATATTTTAGTAAACTTTGTTATCAAATTTAAATAATAATACACTAAAACCTCGATTATCCGTCTACAAAGGAACCAAGAGGGTGACAAAAAAAAAAAAATTTTTTTATACTAAACATACCTATTAGTATATTTAAAAAATAAATAAAATGATTAATTAATTTTTGTTTATAAAATTTATATCATGAGCTTTTTTTCATTTTTCTTAATAACATAAGACTTTAGTCACGAGTAGACACAATACCATTTTGACGATGGGTGACGTATAACGGGAGTTGACGGATGAAAGTGACAGATATTGGAGGCTTTATTGTAGTTCAGTTTTTAGAACTATAAAAACCATTATTTGATGGTATATAATTAAAAAGTATTGATCAAATAATTCATCATATAAAAATGACTCTAATCAATTAAATTCAACAATACTCATTGCTAAAGAATGTTAATAGGTAGGTAGGTACCTAATAATCAACTTAATTATGTGTTGTTTTTATCATCCATTAACAAGTTATTTTTTTTTTCTCGTATTAAAACAAATTTACCAGCTTCAAGATTTAATTTCTAAAATAACGAAAAAAAACAAAATGTATTTTATGTTCGTTCAGACAATAGTCTAAGAATCACAAGATGTAATGATACGATATGATAATAATGATTGAAATTTAATACAGAGAAAAAAATCGATTGATTAATACAATAATTATAATCATAAAGGTAAAAAGATTTGACACGACGAAAATTAAAACTTAATATGTTACCTTGGTCGAATAAAAATAGCATCGGTTCTTTGGGTAGAGCAAACCAAAACGTCCGATGTGCACATTCAATCTTGAAACCATAGTACAAAAATCAACGACTTGGTTCGATGAAGAAATTGTCCGGGTTTAAAATGATTCGACACAACTGTTAGCGGGGAAAAAATAGATACAAACTACTGCGTTCCGAAAACGTAAACACCAAAAATAAGTGGAAAAAAAAAAAAAACAGGTAGGTACGTCAATAACTTTGTGTCACGCACAAAATGGCGTACGTCGAAGAGCCTATTATCAATTTGTAATCGTATCAGTATCACGTTGTCCGGTTATCGCATGGGTCACAAATGCTTAATAACCCCGAAGGGCGCAACAGGCCGGCGGCCGTGATTGCGCGGTATCCGCCGTCGACTGCGGTACTGCCGTCGCACGTTTATATTTTGTCCGCGATTACGTGACGACAAGTAGGCGTTGAAATTCAATTTCGAACCACGCATTGTTATTCCGTTCGTTGGCATTATTAAACATAAATGTCCACCATAAGGCCGGGTCGCGAACGTTGGCTGCGGTCAAATCACACGCGGATGTGCGCACAAAAACATATCGGCGCCTACGGTATTAGGGGAGAAACAAAAATACATCTATATTTAATATCGGCCCAACTACAAAAACGGCAATCGGATATTCTTACAGTAAACAACAACCGACATGGATGAATCGACTACGAATATACCAAAAAATTATCATTTAAACCCCCCCCCCGAGTCCGGGGTATACGTGAAATAAAACAATATCGTACGCGGTACCTATGCCTCACCCCCCACACACACACAGCGCGTTATTTCGTACAATTTTCGTCACATTATTACAATGTAAAAATATACCATTAATCGCTTGTATTTTTATATTACAAACTAGAAATGCACGCATACGCGTCTACTTTAGAGACGAGAATGAACGTTGTTTTATAGAACCGAAGGCGATATTTAATGCGAAAAGTCGAGATAAACGGAATTTGATCGCGCGTTATAGGTACGCCCGTCGCACACAATTCGCAGCGGCCGCGGAGCGTGCACGGGCAAATAGAATTTTCGCGCCAGTTGCGCGTGCGCGCTTGACCGTTTCGGTCCCGCCGCCGGCGCGACTACCGCATCAGTCCTAGCGCCGGTTTGTGCGTAAACGAATATTGCACGTCTTCCGCTGCCGACAACGGGAATTATTTCTTTTGGATAATATTGAATTCGTCCGGTGGGTGATCTACAAACCACTGTGGATTTCTATCTAAGAACCTACTAAATATGAAAAAAAAAAATAAATACAAATATATTCATATTTCAATAAACATATTTGTTTTAGTTCCTGTTTTCTGAACCGACTGTACTTATCGTATACAATTTTTTTTTTTAAATATCCATCACCAATTATTCTGCTGACGAGCCGTCATTGAATTCTATTATAAAGGTTTTTTTTTTTTATAGCAATAAATCAGAAAAATAGGACAAATATATATATAGAAAAATCGATTTCCAACAAAAGTATACCTACATCAAAACATCCTTTTTCTATCCGTTATTTTGTTCATCGGTTACTTTAATATTTCTATGTGATGGAAGTTATCATTATATCATATTAATTTACAATGGGGCTTTTTGCCAAGCCTTCTTTTCAACAGAAAAATGTTCTTAAGATGCCAGTAACTGTATTTTTTCCTTAATTCATCTGTATATATATGTATGTGAATAAAACCAATTACCAAGTAGATACTCTATCAACTTGATAGTTTCAAGCTATACATGTTATGGACTCACGGTAAATATTATTAATGCTGTAATATTGTAAAAGCAGTTAATGATTTTATATTTTTATTTTTTTGTATACGAAAACCGATTATGTACTGTTAGTTTTAACATAATGATGTATCTGTCTATTATTTAAACCTAAAGATTAGAGCATTGTATATATTTTTATAAAAAAAAAACAATGTATAAACACAAGCAATATTCTCACCTTTAAGTTTAATAATAGGCCAATATACTCTAATATTAAAATAGGTTAATATTTAAATATAATAACATTCACATGGAAATAAAAAAAAAAAAACAACATTTACCATAATACATATATTATTTACCAGTGTATAGTTTGATAGTACCACACTTACGTCATTTTTTTTTTTTTTTTACAGTTTTTAGTATAATTTAGTTAAAGTCAACAGAACATTAAAATAAATTATACAGTTTTCAACAATGCAAAATAAAAATATTACATTATAGAATTTAGAAATTGATTTCATCAAAATCTAAGTTCTATAATATAATATTATCATCTATAACTTGATAGAACTAATTTTAACAATGTTTTTGTTAATTAAAAAAATATTTGGTTCTTATATTTTTATCACTATCAAATTAAATAAATTTAAATATTTCATCAACAACGAAAATTGTGAAGTATTTTAATTTGATATTAGCACCAAATATACATATTTGTTTTCAATAATTTATACAATTTATTTAAAATAAAATTTGATGTTTTTTGTTGCTGTTTTAATGTTATTTTGTATTTTTTGCACTATTTTTTGGTATTATGGTCCCATTAAAATATAAATAAAATAAAATAATTTAAAAATATTTGTTTTAATACTGTATAAGCAATTACCAATTTATGTTTTTGTAATCATTTAAAAAACAATTATTAATAATATATTATTGGTAATATATAAGTATATCAAAACATTTACAAAATACATCAAAACAATGATAAATAAAAATATTTAAAACACTATTTGAATTATTATAAGTTAAATGTTTGAGTTCCTAACTTAATTAATTACCAATTAATAATAATGACTTATTTGTTTTCAGGTACAATAAACTTTTGACATAATTTAACATTTGTAAATTTAAAATATCAAATGAATAACAGTTAACAATAACATCATGAACAATATTTTCTTATAGTAAACATATAAGTAACAACATTTACATTTAAAATAGTCTATTATTATTATGAACATATTTGGTTAGTTTAGGTAAATGGTAAAAAGTTAACAAAAAGTGCCGTGCCCACAACAAAGTATGCCAGAAAATATAATACGACCAGTCTAGATTTAAAATCGTTGTATACACGTCTGTAAGTTATTCTGTTAAAATTTAGCGGAAACTGAAAATATGACCCGCAAGCCCAATAGAACACGGGGCTAGAAGACGCCAACATTCTGGTGGTGACCTGTACGTGTATGCAAAATAGACAGAATAATGTTAGAACAGTCGAATGAACGACATACACGAAATCTGGTTTATCTCGGTCCCTGAGGCCTAAATACATTATATTGTTGTTGTAAAAATATTTGAATCCGTGGTTTAACAGTAAAAAGATACAAGGGAATGCCAACATAAAATTGGGAATCTGTTTGAATTGGTAATAATTTAAGAAGCCAATATTTTGCCAATATTTCTCTTGGACGTACGAGTACGGTAAACGCACACCACACCACAGAGGTACGGTATGGTTATTCGGCATCACAAGGTTATTGGCGCGGGCGTAGTCAACAATTTTCGGTTCGAAGTAGTGTCCTCGAAGGGTGCAAAACTTGTAATAACCGTATAACTGAAACGAACCGAAACAGGCGAACACCAAACACGACCCTAAAACAAATTTGAACAATAGTATTCTTTTGGTCACGGCGGTTCGAACGGCCGAGTACAGCAGATAGCCGGAATTGAGCAGCCCGTTGGACCGGTTCAGCGCGCAGCAGCCAAAACACAACGCGGATTTCCAAACGCTGTCGCGTTGCACATGGTACATCCCGTAAAACGTCGTCAGGGCGAACAGAGACTCTGAATAAGGAGCCGAGAAAAACACGCTGGCCGGATTGAAACAGAACAGCACGGCCGAGTTGTAGGCCGTGCGCACGTCGTTGTCGTGCACGCGCAACGTCAAATCGTACAGGGCCAAAGCGGCGAAAACGAAAACGACGTTGTTCAAAGCGATCGACACGGCGAGGAACGCGGTGTTGGGATGGCCGGGCACGATCGCGGCCAACAGGCGCACGGCGCCGGGAAACGCGGGGAAAAAGGCCAACGCGTTTTCGTACGTGTAACCGTACCGGTAGACGTGCAGGAAATATTGGGCGTCCCACCGCAGGAACCCGCCCAGGAAATGGGTTACGACACGGCCGACGACGGTGTCGTCTCCGTCACCGAGACACGGCGATATGAACACGTCTCGAGCCTGATGGTCGGAAATCAGCGCGTTGGACAGGTACTGGACGACCAGAACGGCCAAACGACTGTAGGCCGCCATACGCCAAACAGCGTTTCGACACGACGTAGCATCCAGCCGGACGGTCTAAAACATACGAGTCGAGTTTCCATATTGTTTTGCCGCTTACGTAGGTACAGAGTAAGTGAGGAAAAGTAAGTAATAACAAAAGAAATAACGACATTACCTTACTCATTTTAAACCGCGTAGTTTCAAAAGGTCAATAGTGCGTTCGAAGAAGAGACGTGTCGACATTTCCCGGATTTATCGGTTCGGCAAACATCGCCGTTAAACAGAAAATAGATAGTAGTGATTTATACGAATTATTACAGAAACATTTGTAGAACGAAAAACAAACGGTTTCACACGTAAAACAGAGTGGCTGACCGTTGCCGAGTGCCGGCAAATTAATGCACGTGCGTTAGTGATTGTGAGCTTATCAACGAAGATACCGTTTTCCATAACATAATCGCTCGAACCACTGGGATGGATATGGGATGGGGGAATGATATTATTATAATATATCTATCTCACTGATATAAGTATATTCTTATCTAATTCAGAGTTCGGATCATAATTTTAACCCATAGATAATGTTATCTATGTTTCGACCACGGACTAAGATATATAATACGTGATTTTAACAAAATTATCAATTATTTACTTTCTGATAATATTATGATTACGCTACTTATCAAGTCTTTATAGTTAATTATAATACTGTTAAAATTACATAGTAGTAATAATAGTAATATTGTATATTATGTATTATCAATTAAATCGATTGATTAGTATGAATTAGTCAAATCCACAGATATAAAAAACAAACTAGACGGCCGACTACCGTTTACAAAAATATATATAATATTATGATGCCCAACGCCATTTGTAACTCGGGGAGTGTTTACATCATGTTATCATTTTTATGTTGTCCTAATCGCAGATACATTTAATAACTAGGTCAGAATTAATTGTCTGGTAACGAAAGAATTTGTAAACATTGCCCAAGTGACGTATGGTGCTGAGAATCATAAAACGAATAGTTTTAATGTTAAATTCGAGATAACCGGGGAATTAGCAGCTCTTGTTCCGCAAAAATAATATTCCAATCGTTATTCATTCCACGCTCTTTTTGGAACAAGTGTCTTGTGGAAAAAACGGCCATTGGACCAAATGACGTATTTTGGAACGCGACGTATGAATAATTGGAAAATAATTTTTTACTGAGAGTACAACAGTATTGGAATAAGACCTCAAACAGAACAATTAATATCTATTGTAACATTGGCGTTTCGGTTTAAATTTTATCAAAATCGCAAAACCATAGCCGTTCCGAATCATTCGCCGTCCGTGTAAATATAAATACCTACCCGGGTACATTCATGGCGCGTTATGAATTGTCCGGGTTAGACATTGAAGCATCATTTTCATCGTACATATAATTATTAACTAAACATCGAAAACGAAATACACACTCATAATTTAATGACCTACAAAGAATAATGGGCGAATATATAAATTATTACTTATATTAATTATTATATCCCCCACAGTCGATGGACAAGTAAAGGTTTTGTAAACTATAATAATTATACTTACGGGGCGTAGAGGTCGACTTGAGATCAACAATAATTTATGGATATTTTTGTGATTATCGCTGGAGAACGACAATATTATTATTATCAACATTGATGTGGCAAGAAATTCGGAATGTATAATCGGCGAATTTATCCAACAGTCACCAGCCCACAGCGGTGACTGGTAGGAGAAATTTGGATAGGTTATTGAACACACTCGATGTTTATTGATATTATATTAATGAAATAAATATTATTGTTTCCGCCTAAAATTCGAACATTGTAATAAATGGAGGGGTAACATTTATTATAAGTTGTTGTAGTGGGGGAGTGAACGGTCTCACCGTATTAGCGATATGGTTACGAGAATCATGAACGTTTACGGACAACAGTGTCACCGGTTAGATACCGTACGAAATTTCTCGTGGCCATACGGTTTCCGGGCAATTGGGTGTACCATTAATGGGACCAAAATTCCTAGGGGGGCATATCGAGAAAAGTATTGGTTTTAGGCATTGCGTGTGCGTAGGTAACTTATCGACAGTAGACACTTACCTAGCTGAAGTCATCGCGGTCGGTGATGGAGACAATGATATTAATGGATTGTGCGAAAAATAAACAAAGAACGAGCCTTTTATACGAAAATGTCGCCCTATGGTAACCACCGTATTTCGCGTGTAATAACAGATTAGGTACCTACAATAAAGAGCTAACCAAATATTATTCAAATCGAACACAATTTCCGAATGATCATGGCAGTGCTCGAGAAAATATTCCGAAACGTTCAAATTTGGCAAGTACCTACCTAACCTATAACCGAGTTATACAGTTCCCTACTTCAGTAAGATCACCCTTATTAGATTTGCCGGGCAAACCTCTTTCAAAATAAACTAATATGCACAAAAAAAAAAAGATCATCACACCTACCTATTTTTATACCTTTCAAAATAGGTAGGTACTAATAAGCCTAGCACCTGCCTCTCTATCAGCTCGTCATAGACAGACGAAACAATAGGCCACCTGTTATATATTGTACACAGCAAAATATTTTGACGGCGCTGTTGTTACGTTATTCGATTAAAATTAGACTATTAAAAAAACTATTTAGTTTATTCACTCCTAAAAGTACATTTAACACGGTTCCTAATCAATGATGAAATAAAATTTCGCGTAAATGGCCCGAATCGGCGTGTAAAGAAAAATTCGACTATAAGAAAAAAAAGTTTTAAACTAAACAATAACTACCGAGTAAATGAACAACAGGTTAAATTCTTACAATCGTAGGTAATACAGTCCGTGTCATTATAACAGGTATGGAAAACTTAACCTAAAAATAAAATTAAAAAAAAATATATACACATATATTAGTAAACGTACCTTCCGCTGTCGGATCTGCGGCGACGTCGAAGTGAAACAAACAGCGAATGTCAACTCTTTTGGCGAACGACACGAGCTAAACGGAAAAAAAAATGTACCACGTCAGGACCCCTTGGAATATTCGGTACACAAATACAATAGCGCGGAGTGGCGGTGTCTATCAGTACAGGTCGCCAGAAAGTAACAGCGACGCGCAGTTTGGCCACGCTTCGCGGGTTGTTTATTATGAATTTAAACGCCGAGAGTCGACGAATAAAGAAAAAATAATAAATGTCCAAAATCCGAGATAAAGACCGGTCGTTATCAAAACGGTTGGTCGATAACGCCGTTTGAAATTCTCAACACGGCTCGGGCGTACGAAAATAATTAGGTGGAAAAAGGAAAAAAATACAAATATTTACGAATAATCATTTTACGTTTATTTCAGTTTTGTGTTCTAATTATGTTCAAAAATATTCGCGTCGAACAAAAATTATTAAATTATTTCGTATACTTAAGAACGAACTCCTTTTTTCGTTTTTACTCGCTTCTGGACGCGGTCATACATATTTACACTGATAATCGTAACGGACTTTAATGTTATCAAACCAACCAGACCTACCCGTCCAATGAGTATTTTCTCCTCAGCCGTTTAATTTATTCGCACTAATCTGCGTGAATATACCGTGTCGTATTTTCATCAGTGGCGAGTTCGATTCCCCCCCCAAAAGTATAGTTGATGTGGCGCACGTGCGTATTTATGAATTTATTTAAAATCTATGTAATAACTAAAACCCAAGTTTTACTTTATAACCCTCCCACCCAAATTAATTTACATATATGTTACAGGTTTACGTCTCAACGTACGTATTATTTATGTTCTTCAATTTCTGATTTTCTTTGCAATTGATTCAAATAATTAAGCGACTGATAAAGAAAAAAAAAATGTTGAAAGTATGAGAAAAGGTACGAAAATAAATCATAAATTACTTTCGATTTTGGTTTTTATAATGTTATGTATAATTAAAGACTCGATATTTCGACACAAAATTTATATTTTTTGCAATTTTCCAAGATGTGAACATTTTCAAAACGTTCGATCAATTATTGAATTAAAGACATCTTAATTTTATATTGAATTTGTATTCGGCAAGTACTCTGTGGATAAACTAAACACACTAATAATTGAAAACATGGTAGGTTCTTTTAGTAAAAAAAAATATCTAATTTTTCAACAAGTGTATATTGTGGATTTAAGAACCACATTAAGGTCAGAAATTAATTGGACTAACTTATTTAAGTTTCTTGAAGTTCTGATATTGTCTATACATTGTATGTACTCAATAATAACAATAAGTTTGTCAGTCTAGTGGTGGTACTTACTCCGTTGTCATCCAAGAGATCACAAATCTAAACCATTGCTTGCTTGGACTATTTTAATCAAAAAATACCACTCAATTCACGGTGCAAACTGTTCAACCAAAAATCTTATTTACATAGAACTTTAAGGATGTCGTCTTTTGATTAAATCAAGCATTATAATATTTGGGAAATAGAAAATATTGGGAAATTTAAGAAAACAATGCATTTAAAATGTATATATTAGTATTACCATATTTTTCATTAAATTAAAAAAAAAAATTGGACAGTTAAAACTGTTGGAAGTTGACATTACCAGTGTAATAGTTGAGCGGACAACTACAAGGAAAATTTAAAAAAAAATCACAAATGAATTTACATCAAGTTAAATATAATTTATTTGGAAACTTTAGTATATACATTTATAATTAGTTTTCAATATGTTAATATTAATTTATTTCTTCTTCTTACTCAGTGCCATTATCAGGGACAGTGTTTTGGTTTCTTTATCAGGATTTCCCGGCATGGAAGAACAAAATAAATTTAATTTTCCCAATAATTCCGTCCAGTTTAACAAATTATAATAACTGGGCTGGTGTAATTGGAAAAAACAAATTTATCAGTTAACAATAAGTTGTTTGGTCAGTATTTCTCGTTACAATATCAGGGAAATGGCAGAGTCCTGTAAACAGTAAGAAATTATAAATTATATGTCAGAGAGTGGAAGTGTGATAGCCTCAGATATGAAGTTCAATAGCTTCCTTTATAGGACTCAACATTTTCAATTCTGTTCCGTTTCTCTTAGGATTTCCCGGCATGGAAGAACAAAATAAATTTAATTTTCCCAATTACATCGTCCAGTTTAACAAATTATAATAACTGGGCTGGTGTAATAAGAAAAACAAATTTATCAGTTAACAATAAGTTATTTAGTCAGTATTTCTCGTACAATATCAGGGAAATGGCAGAGTCCTGTAAACAGTAAGAAATAATAAATTATAGATCGGAGAGTGGAAGTGTGATAGCCTCAGATATGAAGTTCAATAGCTTCCTTTATAGGACTCAACATTTTCAATTCTGTTTCGTTTCTCTTAGGATTTCCCGACATGGAAGAACAAAATAAATTTAATTTTCCCAATAACTCCGTCCAGTTTAACAAATTATAATAACTGGGCTGGTGTAATAAGAAAAACAAATTTATCAGTTAACAATAAGTTGTTTGGTCAGTATTTCTTGTACAATATCAGGGAAATGACAGATGTCCTGTAAACAGTAAACAATAATAAATTATATGCCAGAGAGTGGAAGTGTGATAGCCTCAGATACAAATTTCAATAGCTTCCCCAATAGGACTCAACATTTCCAATTTGTTAATGTTTACCAAACACTTTTAATCATAACAATTTACAACAAATAAAATTCCAAAAAATAATTAACATTTTGTATTTGCATATAAATTCTAGCCCCGTTTATTTGCAATCTAGCATTAAAATTTACAATTATCATGAAATCTTTGTGATAGAGCACATTAATTCACTCAGAATCGAAACTTGTGGCTGTATTACTGTTTTTTGGGTAACAGTGTGTTATACTGCCTTGAGTTTCCTTCACATGTTTTAATTCTACTGCTAACACATTTGAAAACAACACATAAAGCACCATCTTTACTTTACCCATTCTTTGAATCATACTATATAATATAAGAATTTGAAGAAGAAATCATAGACATGTATAAGATAAATTCTAAAGATTTGTGGATGATATTGCTCAGAGGCGGGAAAAAACTAAAATATTGCAAGAGTATCAAATGAAAATAAATGTAAATAAAACAAAAACAATGATGGTAACAAAAGCAAAAGATTCCCATAGTAAGTTGGAAATATATAATAACTCAATTGAATAAGTTAAGTAATTCAAATACCTAGGGAGTACACTAACCAATGATGGTAGGTGCTCAATAAAAATTAGATAAAGAATAGGTATTGTAAAAAGAGCATTTGTGCAAAAAAGGCAGTTTCTTACAAACAAAAAACTTAATATAAAAATGAGGAAATTTTTTTTAAAATTCCATGAATGGCACACACTGCTATATTGTTGTGAAACATGGACTATTAGTGAACAAACAGGATAAGAGGAAGTTGGAAGCAAAGGGAATATGAACATGGAGAAGATAGTTGAAAATCAACTGGACTAAAATGAAAAATAATATATATATATATATATTAAACAAAGGAAAGGGAAAAAGAATTCTGTAATCATATAAAAGAATAAAACGGAAAAATGTTTGATCACATGCTGAGGCACAACCCATTTATTTGAGCTAATAAATGGACAGAAGGGGAGAGGCAAACCGAGAAAAGCATATATAGAAGAAATGATAAGACAAGTTGACTGTATTCAATATGTGGACATGAAAAGACTAGCGTTTAAAAGAGAGGAGTGGAGAACTAGATTTGCAATGACAAGGCAAGGCCTTTAATAGAGAAGATTAATTAGGTTAATAAATACAACTGATTAATCGGGATAATTATTTAATAATAAAAACAAATGTACAAAGTCTGTAAATACGAAACAGGAATTCTCATGTAAATATCTCTAGTTATCAATTTAGTTAATTTTAAACATCACATTTTCATGTTGACACCCATTAAAAGATATTTAACTCGTACGAATACAAGTTTCATACAACTGCATAGTTTGTTATAGCATTAAATATGTCAAATTTTGTGCTTTGAAATTACGATTTGTATACAAGATTAATTTTCTAATACCATTTGAAAAAAATTGCTGCAGTGAGAATATCACAACGCCCTAAATAGTTTAAAAAATTAAAAAAAGCAATTTTGATACAAAAAACAAAGAACGTGGAAGACCACGAAAAATAAGCTTGAAGACTTGTTGGATGAAGATAACTCTTAAACGCTACAAAAACTCGCAGATCAAATAAACGGGAAAATGGGTTCCATAAACTTATGAAAGACAGCAGAAAAACCAATGATAAAAAAGCTGATATATTTTGAGAACTGTGTTAAAAATAATAGTTAATTCGATATCAACTAAGAGGCCAGATTGCTATGGACTGAAGATATTTCTTCGTGTTTAGGGGGAGATCAGAAGAGTGTGATCTATTATGAGCTGCTTAAACCTAGTGAAACTGTTAATACTGAGTGTTACAGATAACAAATGATCAATTTTAATCAAGCTTTGTATGAAAAATGCAAACAAAGTGATTTTATTTTGCATTATAAAACTGCATCATCACACACAGCAAAACTAACGAAAGAAACAATTGAGATATTTATAGTTCAGAAATAGTTTCGGATGCGGTGTATTCACCAGACTTGGCTTCGTCTGATTACTATTTATTTGCACCGATGGAACATGCACTTGCCAATTATTACTTCACTTTTTGCGAAAATGTATGAAAATGGCTTGACGACTAAGTTGTCTCATAAAAGCAACAGTTTTGTCTCAGTATCTACAAATGACCAGACAGGAAAAATATAGCTAGTAATGTGCATTGTTTCAAATAAAATAGTTGATCTTTTTTCTTCAATAAGCATGTATTTTCTGTACAAAAATTCCAGTTTCACATTTATAGACCTGGTATAGTACAGTGTAAACATTCATGGCATATCTGGACATTTTTTTAGAGTATAATAATAGATCAATAGTCAAATAAAAATGTACAGAATATATATGCTCATTGCTTATATTTTTTGAAGAATTCTTGATTTTAATGTTCTAAGATTATCTTTTTAAATCATAAAGATATCAATAGATAGTACATTAAATATTATTGTAATGCTGTTGTTAGTTAAAATATTTTTTTAAATATTAACCCCTTCTTGTAAAATTAATATAGAAATTAGAATTAGTAAATTATGCAGTAGAAAGAGGAATAAAACTAATAAAAGAATTTGATAAAAAAAAAATATAACATTAGATAAAGAAGAAAACTCTGAAACAATTCCTTATACAAGTAAATATATTCTAAATTAATATATTTTATGTTTCAGACTGTACAAGATATGGTCAAAAATATCAAATACCAACATTAAACATAATTAAAAAACTAGTTTAATAAAATAAAATAATTTTATTTTTTTATTATTATAAAATAAATTAAGTAATTTCACAATGTCTGTTTTTTTTTTTTATTCATTTTGCAAGAAAGGGTTAATATTTTGAAATATAATATAATATATATATTTATTTGATAAATAAAAGGAGGAAATTCAAAAATGCCATTGATGAGGAAGGTCAAAAAGAATACAGGAAGCTGAGAAATGAGATCATAAGGAATATAAGAGAAAAAGACGAATACCTGAATGAGATATGCGAAGAAATCAACAGAGAACTAATAGCTAATAATTTAGATAAAGCGTACAGGATGGTTAGAAAGCTCTTTGGGGAAGGAAAAAAGAAAGCTTCAATAATAAAAGACGAAAAGAGTCAACTTCTATATGAAGAAAAGGAAATAGTTAATAGATGGAAAGAATATTTACAAAAACTTTATGGAGACGAACCAATGAATGGAAATGGAGACGAACCNCTGGCAGAACTATTGAAAAACTGTGGTGAGAAAGCAAAAGATGTACTTTTCAAAATCATATCGAGCATGTACAAAACTGGCCAAATACCAAGTGACTTCACAAAATGTCTCATAATTCAAATCCCGAAAAAAAGCAAAAGCCCAAACATGTGAACAATACCGAACTCTAAGTTTAATATCTCATGCATCTAAAGTGCTCACCCTCATCATAATGAGAAGAATAGAAACTAAAATTGAAGGAAGTTTAACAGACGACCAAGAGGTATGGGAACTTGAGAAGCCATCTTATCATTAAGGCAGGTAATTGACAAGATGAACAGGAAAGGAAAAACTACTTTTATATCATTTGTAGACCTTGAAAAGGCCTTTGATAACGTGAATTGGGACATAATGTTTGACACTTTAAAGAAAACTGGAGCAAGTTATAGAGACAGAAGGAAAATTCATAGTTTGTATAAAAACGAGATAGGAGTAATCAAAAGTGGAGCAAGTGAAGAAGAGGCCAAAATTATGAAAGGTGTCCGTCAGGGATGCTCACTGTCACCATACCTCTTTAATTTGTACAAGAGGCCATTAACAAGATTAGAGAGAAGGGTGGAGTCGGAATAAACATACACGGAGAGAAAATAGACATGCTCAGATTTGCAGACGATATAGCTGTACTAGCAGAAAATGAAAACGATCTACAAAACACACTTAATATAATGAATGACACTATGAGAGATGAGTTTAAAATGAAAATAAATATTAAGAAAACAAAGATCCTAATAAGTAGTAGACGTGAATAACAACTAACATCACAATTGATAACGGATCATTGCAACAAGTATAAGAATATAAATACCTAGGAAGTTTAATAACGGCAGAAGGTACTAGTAAAAAAGAGATAGTAAGTAGAATAAATCAGGCAAAATGTGCATTCAATAAGAAAAAGAACCTATTCACCTCCAGAAGCATAGATATTAACATCCGAAAGAATTTGATTAAAACATACGTGTGGAGTGTGGTGTTATATGGTAGTGAAACTTGGACGATCGCTAAAGCAGAAGAAAATAGATTATTAGCTTTTGAAGCATGGTGTTGGAGAAGGATGCAAGGAATAAGCTGGAGAGAACATATGACAAACGATGAGGTATTCGCAAAAGCTAAAGAACGAAGATGTTTCATGAAAAGTTTGAAGAAAAGAAGAACCAAATTAATAGGACATATACTAAGATATAACAGCCTACTGAAAAGAATTATGGAAGGAATGATAGTAGGAAAGAATGTAGTTGGTAGACCCCTTCTGAACTACTTACAACAAATAATGAGGGATGTGGACGTCCCAGGCTACAAACACATGAAAAGGAAGGCGGAAAATCGGGAAGAATGGAGAGTTGCAACAAACCAGCCCCACGGCTGCTAACTAAAAAAAAATAAAAAAATATATGTCTATAATTAACTATATTATATATTTATATGACTAAAAAATTAATTAAAAATAACAACGCCAGGTGGTTTTGGAATTATCTTATAAGTAGAGAAAATACGTACGTACAAATCATAATAAACATTAAAATAAGTATTAATAGTACCTATTATAACTAATATAATAACCCAGACTACGACAATTAAACTAATATAATAACCCAGACTACAACAATTAAACTAATATAGACTATTAAATTGAGTAGACTATTTATTTTTATTTGATTTTAATACTATTTTAAAATCTATATCCAATATTTATGTTAATTTTAGTAATAATTTAATATAATAAAAAATGTCATTAATTTTGTTTCGATTTGCAACTTACAAATTTAAATAAGTATTAATTTTTATATTAAATTAGCTTATAGTATTATAGATTCCAAGAGTAACAAAGAGTATTGGTTTTACAATATTTTTATTGAGATTTTATTATTTTTACAGAGTGAATCAATTCATGAAAAATATTATAATTGATATGGATGTTACCAATTATTGGTTTTGATTATCATAGTTAGAATTTAAGAATTTTAATATTCAATAAAACATGAAATCATGAGCGAGTACATTTAGAGTATTTATTATGAAATTATCTGTTTTAGATAGATATTTTTTTATTATTGAAAGTGAATTAATTCTTATATAAAAAAAATTAATTTTTAATGCGAATATATTTCTTTTTCAAACAAAATGTTTCATAATTTGATTATTATTAATAAAATGCTATTTTTACTAATTTATATTAAATCTTACTGGATAAATAAAATTATAAAAATTTATCAGATTTCAAAAAATCATTTAGAAATAAATGAAATAGATTTAATGTCTACAGGTGCTGATAGTACTTGGCAGCTTTTACACATATGGACAAATAAGTAGTGATGAAGGTTTTGAATTTGAAAACGATTCTGATGAAATTGACTAAGAGCCTGATTATTTACCAGAAATTAATACTGTTCCAATACATCAGAATATCAATTTGGTAGAAGTAATAAATAGTAATTTATTACAAGAAGCTTTATAAAATAATAAAATATTGTTCACATAATTATAATACTTGAATGTTACTTATAACATATTACAGAAAAATGTATTAGTTTGGTTGTTTAACTTTTTCTTATTTATGTTTATATACTTAACCTTTAAATTTTTTTTTTTTTTCAAAATAATTTAATGCATAAAAGATAAATTTGAATAAGCATATTATTTTAACTTTGATGTTTTTATTGTATTGACTACCAAATATTTAATATATTTTTAAAATCACAATTATTTAAAGTAAACATACTATTCTAATAAAATAATTTAGTGCCTATCTGTGTATCTAACTAAATAATGGACAGCCTGATGAATGGATTGACAAAAAAACCAAATTATATTTTAACTCTGCTAAATAACATACAAGAAGGAAAGGTGAACACATTTCTGTAGAAAAAAATTGAGCTACGGGGAGGTAATTTTAATTTTATTTTACCCGGTCTAAAACTTAAGAAAAACTTGAAATTTTGTTATTTGTTGTAGTTAACAATATTTGTAAAGATTAGAAATTTTAATAGAAAACTTATATTTGCCTTTTCTAGATGCAGGAAATTTTTTTAGCAACTTTTGAGTTATGTTACACTTTTTAGTGTATGGACATTTTAATTTTGTGAGTAATTTTTATGTGTAATGTCTTGGCCAAAGCATTATTCGATTATACTCGCATAAGAAAGGTCACTAACCTGAACCCACCCAAAAAGGTATTAAGGATTTCGTGAAATTATTCCTACGTGGAACAGGAGAAAAAACCTGGTAGCAGACATAAATATCCACGAAAAAAAAAAAAATAAATAGAGTTCAGAGGGAACAACCAGATATTTATTTTGTGAAATGTGTTATAATGGATAGGCAATGCTTACACAAACATATATGTTACATACAAAATATGGAAGCATACATTTTAACTAGAAACAACACAGTTTTTCACATGAAAACCATCTTTATTATAAAATCAAATATTTTAACGAGTCGTTATATATTAATACAAATTATACATTTTTTTTTTTTTTTTAAAATGAACTAATAATAAAATTTTAATTGTTTAGTATTACATATTACCATAGAAAAAAATAACAGATTAAATAATCTGCGTTAATATTATATTCATATTATTGATATTATTAAATCGTAATATAAAAAGTATAAAATATTGGTATTTTTCGGTAACTGAACCAACTCCATCGGTTGATAATAGTATGAATGTAACCAAAATAATACTTTCATATTTGATTTTCTAACATTTTATAAAAATAATTTTTTTGTAATTATATAATATAGAAACCCATCGGGAAGATTACTGAATTCTCAATAGGCCAATTGTCCTCGAGTATATTATTATGTAAGGAACTTGGTATGTCTATTTTCATATATCCCGATATGTAATATTTATCAGAAAAATCTTACAGTAGTTTCATGGTTTCACAAATTTTATTTTGCAATGTGTACGAACTACAGCGATTGTTTATACACCAGGAATTGTATAATTCAACTTATATCATCTATATAGTTACTTTGTACAGTAACATTGAGCAGAGTTCAAGAAATGTACGATTCCAGACTTTGTACGAAATTAAAAAAAAAAAACAAAATAATAAAAATCCTACAATTGCGAGGATACATTAATCATTAGTGGGGGGACAATAGGTACATAAATTACAATTCGGAAATATACTAGGACCGTGCATTGCACGTGGTTATTTACCCTTCTATAAGTTATCGAGAATTAAGGAGGCGTTAAAACGGTATGTCCGTCGTGTACGAGATTGTTAGTTTGTGGCGTAGCGTCCATGGAGCCTCGTACAAGGGATTTCTCTGCCAAACGTACCTACCAATTACATGGTTGGGAAATGGGATGCCATAGCGGCCTACTCCATGCTTCGAGTTCAGCTATGCGGCGTTACACATATATCGACCTGGCGAGGTGCATCTATTAGAAGGTGGGATGCGAGAGGGTTAACGTTCGGAATACCTCTAGCGAGGGGATTCTTGGTTCAAACAGGAAAGCATTGAACCAGAAAATACGAGAAGTCGGGGGTCGGAGCAAGAGAAAGAGAGTAATAATAAAAAATAGGTGTATCCGACATCATAATTTACACATATCATTTGGACACACGTGACATGTGGGTGAGAATTTTCGCTACATAATATTTAACAAAGAGAAAAACGAAACAAGAAAATTAAATCAATATACAGCGTTATTCGTGTATTCCATAAAGGAACATAAGAACAGAGATTTACTTAACCAACATTCATACTAAACAGGGTACCGGACATAGATATAACAAAATTCATATTACCAAAATTCCATGATGGCGGATCCAACGTTCAAGTATACAGTGTAGAGAAAAATTAAGCTCCGGCTCAGAATTCAATTGGAACGGCAACCAAATAAAAACTGATCGATCGAGCGGCTCGGCCATCCGACGTCCGAGCGTCGGGCACAGAGGCGATCGACGATTACGTTTGTCAATTTCATTGGCTAATACCGTCCGCAGTGTTACATTTGAGTTCTGCGGGCGGGCACACTGATGAATGACGCGTTGAATGGGCGTTGTACATGTAGAGAGAGAGTGAGTGGCGGTGTCGTTGACATTATCGTGCGGCAGTGTATTCTCGCGCGGAGTGGCAGTGTAACCGTGTGTTACGTAACGTTACGTTTTACGACGTCGATTACTTGATTTTTCGGACGGCCGTTTTTTCGGGACGTAACGTGTTTGCCATTTGATAGACCGTGAGTAGTTTGATGAAATATATTTATTATAATTTATAAAACTGTGTAAAACGAAGAGAGTTAAACTATGGTACGAGCCGATTTTTATTGAGAATGGTTGATCACATTACACGTGTATACACGATTTATAGATTATAATGTTGGCAACTCCATTTTAGCGAATTTGTCGTCTCATCATTATTTTGACAACGGGGTTATTTCCCGATCGATTCCCCGATTCTCTGGTGTCCGATGGGTGCGCTCTCTATTCCGATCGTAGGCAGACGAAGCACCGCCATTGTTCCCGTTGCACGCCTTTTTAGTTTATCTTAAAACCATTTTTATTTTTTAGTATACTAATCATATAAGACATAAATAATCACCTAATTGTACGATATTTGTACATAATTATCTGTGTTGTGTGTATTTAATTTCAATTGGCGTGTTTAGACTTTGGATCTGGTATATTTAGTTTGCATTATTATTATGGAATCCGCTAGCAGCAAGACCGGTGATCATCCTCATGAAGACGTTGACATTGAAAAGACCGATAACCACGATGAAGAGGTTGTAACACCCGATTGTAAATTATGCTTAATGTACTACTGTATCGAGGATGCAGTTGTCGAAATTTGTAGATTTTTATTTTGGTTAGTATCATTTTAATAATTATAATAACAATATTAGGTTTAGTTATATAGTAAACACTAAATATGTAATAAAGTAGGTTTATTAAAAAAAAAAAAATAATACGATTTATGTGACGCTAGTATTCTTCAATTTTTCTTGATACACTCGTTTCATACGTTTTTGTTGGCGAGGGGCGGATTGGGCCACTGGGAATTCAGAAGTTTTCTCGGTGAGCCGCTGTTTAAAATAACTATTATGAAAAGTATTTTATGTCAAAAATTATGTTGGAATTTTTAAGTGTCCCTAATAAATAATACTTTGGTATACTAATAAATAATAATGTTTTAAATTTAAAATTTCTTTAAAATATACGTTGAATGAAATATAGATAAATAAGTACCTACCTATATACTTATGAAGAATATTTTTACTCCTTTAAGCCCGAGCTAGTGATGGAGTAATGTTCAACAATACAAAAAGAATATAGTCTTGGATTCTCAGTGGAGCCAAGAATTTATTGGTTTTACCATGATTTTTTTTTTATACTTTAAAAAAATTTTTCTAGAAATATTACTCCGACATATACATACGCCACCATTTTTGAAAGGAAATATTGTCTATATGGTACTTTAAGGACATCATTTTTTAATTTTCAAAGCTGTTTTCATAATATCTGGGAAAAATCTGGACAAAAATTAAGAATACGGAAATTTACAAAGATAATAAAATTATTATTTTCAATTTTGTTATTTGTTGTAATTTAGTTAATAATATTTGTAGAGACTTAACATTTGGACAGCAAATTTATATTTGCCTTTTATAGACGTGATCAAATTTTTTATTAATTTTTACGTAATTTTTATTCGGTAGGTACTCTGTGGTAAAATTATTAGACTTGACAGAAATACTTTAAAATTTAACAGGAGGTAAATTAATGTGATGAAAAAAAAAAAATTTGAGTTTATGTACCTAATTTTTTTTTTTTTTTATAAAGGAATTTTAATGAAGTCAGAATTTATTTATTTATTTAATTCCAAACATATTTCTAAGAAACCGTAAATTTGTTATTTCTTCACCTTTACACTACCTATTTAATTAACCACTATCCCTCGGAATTTTCCCTGATGTTTGGAAAGCTAGTTTTATTCGACCAATTCCTAAGTCTTCTTCTGATCTATCCAATATTGCGAATTACCGTCCAATATCCTTGCTTTCACTTATACCTAAAATATTTGAATCTATAGTTGCTAACAAGGTTTTACCTGTTTTGAATCATGTAATCATAAATGATCAACATGGTTTTCGACGCAATAAAAGTACGATTACTAATTTACTTAACTTCCGGAACTTTGNTAATTTTAATCCGCATAATCTTCCTAAGGTTCTTTTTTCTTCTTTTCATTCTTGTTCGATTTGTTTAATTGAGGTATTTGAATCACTTGACTCATTAAGTTCCAATTCCAGCCCTGGTCCCGATTTAATTCCAAACATATTTCTAAGAAACTGTAAATTTTTTATTTCTTCACCTTTACACTACCTATTTAATTACTCACTATCCCTCGGAATTTTTCTTGATGCTTGGAAAACTAGTTTTATTCGACCAATTCCTAAGTCTTCTTTTGATCTATCCAATATTGCGAATAACCGTCCAATATCCTTGCTTTCACTTATACCTAAAATATTTGAATCTATAGTTGCAAACAAGGTTTTATCTGTTTTGAATCATGTAATCATAAATGATCAACATGGTTTTCGACGTAATAAAAGTACGATTACTAATTTACTTAACTTCCAGAACTTTGCATCTGACGCTCTTTCTCGTGGATCGAATGTTGATGTCATTTACACTGACTTTGCTAAGGCATTCAATAAAATCAACCATCAAATCTTATTTGTAAAATTGAAACAAATTGGTATTTGTGGCACTTTTTTATCCTGGATTATCTCCTTTATTGTAGATCGTCAGCAAATCGTAGCTTACAAAGAGAACTGGTCTATCCCAATACGTGTTACATCGGGCGTTCCTCAAGGGTCCCATTTAGCACCAATATTATTCCTTATTTTTATTAATGACATTCGTTTTCATAATTGCACTAAATTTATGTTTGCTGATGACATAAAGATTTTCCGTATAGTTAATAATCAAAATGACGTTGATTTACTTCAATTCGATTTAAATACTCTTTACGAATGGTGTACTACCAATAATTTTACTCTAAATATAAATAAATGCAAGGTTATGACATTTTCTAGACCTCGAGTAGTTCTAAAATTTGATTACTATATCAATGGAGAACCACTACTTCGGACTTTGGGGCCTATTAAGGACCTTGGTATTTATTTTGATACTAAACTTAACTGAACTTGACTGTCATATTACCAACGTTGTTAACAGATCTAATAAAGTCCTTGGATTTATTCGTAATAATTGTACTGATTTTGATGATTCATTAGCTTTCAAATCTATATATTGCAGCTTGGTATGTTCAATTNCTTCGTACATCCCACTTTTAACGATGCTTACCCTCGAAACTCTAGTGCAACACCGTTTGCGATTTTTAGATTTGTACTTTTCGTTTAAACTTTTTACAGGAAATATTGACTGTCCTGAGTTTCTAAGTCACTTCTCCTTCCATGCCCCAACTCGTAACACCCGGTCGAAAAACACTTTATTCTATCTTAATACCCTATCTTAATACAGTAGTAACTAATTATGCAAATAATACTCCCCACCATAGAATTATGAAAACTATAAATAGATTAAATATCGATTTGTTCATCTCACCAAACTTCAGCTCTTTCAAAATATATTGTAATTTCATACTTGTCAATTCACAGCCATATATATAATTATTATAATTTATATTTTATATATTTATCTATGTATCTATTGTATATATTATCTTTCGTATTTTCCTTCTTGTCTTTTATTTTTGTATTGAATTGTTAACGAACGATTGTTATTATTATTAAAATTTATGTAATTGGGCCTGGCCCGTTTAAAACTTAAAATAAATAAAAGTCAGAATTGAGCGGACCATGGCCCTTCGAAATTATAGCTTTTTGAAATCCTGATATTATATGTTATGTTAAGTAACTCTATATTGTCAACTTTATTTTATTGTGTCTGTCGTAGTGTAATGGTGCTAGGTAGCAACCTACCTATTGACATCAAATCCGTGTTTCAGAAAAAATTGTTTGCATTTGTTTTTTCCCTTTTATCTAAACAGGGAAAAAAACAAAGGTATTTTGGTGTACCTATACTATAGGTCCTATAGAGACCTAAGCCATTGCTTGCTCAGACTTTTTAATCAAAAATACCCTTCAATTTATTGTGCAAATGTTTCTACCAGAAATCTTGCTCCAATGTATCAATTATAGCACCTTTTCTGAAATTAAATTTTATCTACATGGTACTTTAGGTAGTTCATTTTTGACTGTCCCAGGAATTTTCCCAATAAATGGAAAATACTGGAAATTTAAATATTGTTAAAAAAATTATATATTATGCATATTGTGTTATTATTTTACCATATTGTGACATTTATATTGTTGACAAAGCTCTACTATTAACCGAATTCCATTCAGAATCCTTTTTTTCGTTAGTAATGGTTAATTAGTGCGTACAGATAAAATACATTAAATTTCCCATTTACCTTATCAATTTCCCTATAACAGTGGCCCACCTACTTGTAAAGTATGTCTATAGTGTTCAATAATATAAAAAGAATACATTTTTTTTTTTATTCAAATATAAAATATTACTTACAGATATGATTGACAAATTATAGAACTTAACAGTGCATAATATCTTTCCAAATGTGTAAAAGAAATTGTATTAATGTTAAAATAGGTAATTATAATACATGTTGACTAAAATTCAGTATTTGGTAAATTAAAAGTTGGCTGGTACTTTTTTCGGACAGAAATCTCTCCCCAATCTGCCCCTGTTGTTGGCATTCAGATTTTGATAATTAAATTAGTATGAAATATGTGCATTACAATGAAACAAAAATAAACTTGGCCAACCATGAAACTCAATATTAGGTGAAAACTGATAATATGGTTCACAAATTTAAAATTTACTTAGGTAATTGTACAGAATTTAATCTATTTATTCTTACATTGATAAATTTGATTAAAAGCGCAAGTTTCTTATAATTAAAATTGTTGAAAGAAACATTAGGGTATCTTTTATTTAGATATAACTTGAACTAGACATTCATTGCAGGTAGCTTGTACAATCACAAAATTTAATAGTACTACTGAAGTATATTGTACTGAATTTTAATAAATGATCATAAGTTTAATAAAGTTATAATAATTCTGAAAATTGATATGAATTTAATGTCAGGTCTACTTGATTTCCCTACATTTTTGATTTTATTTCCCCTAATTCTAAAAAGCAATAATAAAAAAAGATAAATTGTAAAAAATCGAATATTTTAATTCTTGTAGAAATTAAAATCGAAGAAAAAAAAAGATCAAAACGTGAGAAAATCAATCTCAAGTAGACTTGGCAATAAATTTAAACTTAATTTCAGAATTCTTATTGCTTCACTAGATCAATCGGTATGTTGAAAATAGAGCACATTTAAATTATTCTGATGTCTCGCATGTATCAGATAAAGACCGAAAAATCACAATTCACTTAAATTGATCTTAAGCTGATATTTAATAAATCTCAGTTTCAATTGTACTGTGGTAGAGTGATGTGTGGTATTTTCGTTCGTTATCTTTTTTTTTTGTTTACTGTAATTTCATTGTCGGACTGAGTTTGACTCTACTAATCTAATCTTGTACCAATCCAAAATAATTTCTGCTTTAAATGAGAGGCACCAAGTTAATTTTATTTGTACAAACTTTCATTAAGCATTCGACAATGTTAACCATCAACTCTTATCAGTAAAGCTGGAATATTTTGGATTAAATCATACTTAATAAATCGTTCTTAGGTCATTAAATTACTTTCTGTAGTTTCTTCTGATATTAAAGTTCACTCTGGCGTATCACAAGGATTTTATTTAGGTTCTTTATTATTCATTTTATTTATTAATGATTTGGTTGCCTAGTGTTTTTATTAACGCCCATATAAATGTTCTTTTGTTTGCTAATGATGCTAACATATTTTCGGATTTAAATTCACAAAGTAATTGCATTAATTTATTAATATTGAAAAGCTTAATGATAAGAGAATTATTAATGGGTTATCTCTTAACATTAATAACTATCAGGTAATATTGTTTTCCTGTAAGAGAGAAACAAGATTATTCAACTATTAGGAAATTCTATTTTACACAATGGTTGATTACATTAGAGAATTGGGAATAATTTTTGTAGATAATCTTTCTTTTTCTCGCCATATTAATTTATTAGTTAGTAATGCTTTCAAGATTCTTGGTTTTGTTAATAGAAGTACAAAACATTAAACATATACATACTTTTGTAATGTTAAATTTCTCTCCTTTTAGGTCAAAGTTTGAGTTTAGTCCTCTAACTATGCGGCTTTTATTAATCTTATTGAAAATGTTAATATAAATATAATAAATCTATCTATTATAAATTAAATATTAGTCTATCTAGGGATTCTTATCATTTACACTCTTCTCAGCTAGGTATTACATATTGTGATCCCAGAAGAAAAGTTATTGATTTGATGTTTTTATTTGACTTGCTTAATGGAAATGTACATTGCCTGGAGTTACTTTCAATAGTTGACTTTCACATAAGTCATATTTACTTTAGGGTTAATAAATTGTTTCATGTTCCATTTTTTACCAATAATTATAGCTCAGCATTATATTTTTCTTGAATTCTAATATTAGCAAATAAATTACCATCTTGTGTTGATTTATTTTATGTCTCGTGAAGTTTTTAAGTATAATGCATATAACACATTGACTATAATTGTATGCTGTAATTTTATCCTTGTTTTATTTATTTATATTTATTTGATTATTATTTCATTAATTTAATTTTTAATTACTTGTGCCATTTATGATTGTCACTTTTCTTTTGTTAAAAGGTTTTTTCATCCATTTATAATTTATAAAATATAATATCTTTTTTTTAAATTTGTATTTTGTATTTGTTTGTATATTTTAAATACATTAATTCTTTATTATTTGAGGCTTATGGGTAATAATTATATAACAGAGATTTAATTTATCACATTATAATTTTCAGCTGCAAGGTATACCCCCCTGAATGATTGGAAACAGTATCAAGTTGTCAAGTATGTCCAGTGTGAATACCAAACAAGATCCAAGGTATTTTTTTATATTAATAGTTTCAGATACCATATTATAAAATATTTAACATATTATTTAAAACAAATTAATTAATTATATAACATAAAAATCCTTAATTCCACAAAAAATATTAGATATCAGTGGATAAAACAAATATTGTCAATTGTTGCATCTAACCATGTTCATATAAAAAAAACCATGTGAATTTTCAATTGGACCACCTGATTATATTCTTATAGTTTGTGAGATTCAGTTATATTAATCTTATAATTTGTCCAAAGAAGGGGGGGAGGGTTAGGAGATTTGGACGTTTGCAATTTCTCATTCAATCTCCAATTTACTATTGCTGAATTCATAACTGGGATATGGCTTAATAAAATAAAATAAAATATTTTATGTTTGTCATGAGCTATGTTTTTCTTTAAACCTATTATTTTATATACATTTTATGTACATTGTCAATTTTGAAAATCTTTGTTGAATTTTTAAGGTTTAAATTTTAATTTTGAGTTTGGTATCAATTTTTCAATGGTTTTAATCGGTATTTAAATTATCTTTAAAAAATAATTTCTCAAAAACTCCCCTCTTTGTACACTTCATACTGATGCTGTGGCAATCTGACATCACTCATGTTCTCTTCTATTGTTCTTCTCTTACCCTCCAACGTGATATCCTTTCTACCTTAATATCTTCTTATAATGTTCATTTTAATACCCAGTCTATTCTTTCTTCACAAATAACACCAATCATTATTTTTATAATCTCCATCATCAAACAGGCTGGTGGTGTTAGAATTTACATTTCTTTAGTAAATGTTTGTTTTTTATTTTGTGTAACATCATGCTTACTTATAAAGCTTACTAATTTAATTGTCGAAGCTAATTGTACCACGAAGTTTGTAATAAAAAAAATACATATATATCAATTACATCCATTTTTATACCTACACTTGCCTTTTAAAGGCCATTACTAGCTTTAATAATTTAAACAAAATATTTAATGAAGTAAAAAAAAAAAATGGGGATACGAGCAAATTAGGGGAATTTATGAATACTATTAAAGTAATTATTCTCAACAGATATGGCAACACTGTATAAAATAGAAAAAAATTATTGCAGCGGTTGAAATATACATGATTTTTTAATTCCTGGAAATATTTCAATTCATAAATTTTTAATTGGTCAAATATGCAAAAAAAAGATTTTATTTGAATTTATTATGTTAATGTTAAAATATGCACTTATATGCAAAATACAATTTTGTATTGATATTTTTTGTACTGTAAATCGTACATATTATCTTACTCTCACGGTTGCGCATACATCCATTACAAACATGATTTAACACATAAATTTGTGCTCTGGTTATACATTTTCACCTGTATTATAATTTATAACTTGTAACACATTAATAAATAATAACGCGATTCAAAACTAGTATTTATGTTCTAACTTAAAACTTATATATTTTTTTTATCAGTCATCCTGTATAGCACAATGGATAGTATGTTCATAATGAAATGTTTAATTAGATATTTAATTTAGGTGATAGGATTTCATTATTGTAATTATTTGATGAGCTTTGAGTTAAACAACTAGAATATAATAAGCATATTGGATTTTGTTATAGATATTAACCGGAAAATAAGTATCACACAAATACATATGTTTTCTGTTGTCTTTAATTTTAACAATTGAAAAATGACAACAGATTTATTCATTAGATTTTGTTATTAAATATATAAATATTTTTTTTTTTTAGAAACCAAGAATTACGAAGACCAGCTGGCCATAGAAGACAACTTCTTCCTGACATAGCATACATATTTGTTATGTTATCAATATTACTTCTACGCTACTACTATAACTAAACTATTAATATAACTAAACTACTACTATAACTAAACTACTACTATAACTAAACTACTACTATAACTAAACTACTACTATAACTAAACTAATACTATAACTAAACTACTACTATAACTAAACTACTACTATAACTAAACTACTACTATAACTTATTATTACTTTTTCACTCTTAAAAATTTTCATAATAGCACTTGTGTTAAAAATATTTATCTAAAAATTTGATTACGTGACATTTCGACCACTAAATCGGCAACTACATGATTTTCGACTAAATGACCTGCACCTTTATAACTACACTACTACACTAAAAAATATAAGACAGATGTTCATGCTTCTAAAAACTTTAATATATTCTATATACAATTTTAAAATATGCTCGATAAAACATCATTATATGCCTGAAAAAATGTTAATAATATTTATTAAAACTGTTAAAAACTTAAAATCAAAACCAAATGGATGAATAACTTAAATAAAAAATTGATTATTTGTATTGCTTTTCGTTTATTGTCAAACTGTAATGGTAATTCAGAGTACTCATGGGTACATAGCTATTGCCCATTAGGTATTTCCAATTAATAAAATTTATCGATAAAGATACAATTTCTAAAATAGTAATAGACAATGATTTAATGTTAAATGTCAAGTAGAACCTAAAGATACCAAATATGCATTATTATGCACTAATAAAATATAAATATGCTTTGAAAGAAAAATGGAAAGAAAAATATGCAATATAACAATTTTGCTTTCGTTTTTTATAAGTCACAAAAAAATATCTATCCTACTGTGCAACTTTTATTATTAAAGAAAAAAAACTGCAAATTCATGAACATCTGTCTGTTACTAATAAACAACTACTATAATTTTTTATTTTCACTTTTTGATTAGCTAAGTTATGTAAAATAGGTTGAGTTGAATATTATTTATTAACTTATATTATTAGGTATATCTGTTTTTATTTATATAACAATGCAGTGCAACAATCCATTTTCAGGAAGAGTTTGACAATGATGATATCTAGAATAGTGGGTTGCTACAACACTTTACCTACAGTACTCGTATAACAAAACTTAACCACTGGGCTCTCTTATCAAATATTGCTGGTGGAACATAACCTAACCTTAACTTATATATTTTAATGTTTTTCACTAAAGAAAAACTTTGGCTTTATTAATCTTATATCTTATCTCATATTAAATAATTTTTCAATAAAATGGACAGATTTGTCTTTTTATTACAAAATATGTCTTATATTATATTCATAATTTTGATTATACTATTAATATTATAAAAAAATAATTTTTTTTTTTAATTAACAAATGACTTAATCTTGATTCAATTTATTTAATCATTAAAAAATGTAGATGTTAATACCAATTTGTATATTTCTTTAATATCTTTCATGTGTTTCTCTATGTACATTAAATATGTTTGAGGATTTTAGTGGAATAAACTGGAGGTATTTATTGGATGTTGTCTGCAGATATCTAACTAATATGATTGTATGTAGGTACTTTATACAGATTTTAGTTTATTACCAATTCAATAAATTCAAGTTTTAATTCATTAAAATGTAATTATTATTATCAGTTATTTAATATTACATATTGGGATAAATATGCGACTAGTCACTGGAACGTATGCACACTGAAGCCTACTCATCTGGGGACTCGTTTTTAACATGTATATCAAAATATTGAACTGTAACTCCATCCATTTTATATGATCTAAGATTCTGTTGATGATAATGTTGTAGAGATAATCCAATACTGCTTGTCTTTGATATCTCCGGGATCATTTCCTCTGAGGACTGTCTGGATTTTCGACCTGCTGGTACAATTTATTCTTGTATATATTTATGATGATCATCTTTTGGCCAGTACCAATAAACTAAACAGTATATAATATATTATTTAAAAAATAAATAAACGAATACTTAATAGTAGAAAAATGCTGAGCGTTGGATCACATAATGTATTAATTCTGCAATAATACACATTTTTAGATTTTGAGTGTAGCGAAGAAGATATAGGTTTTACTATGATGTTTTTTTTTTTTATTGTGTACAAAATTTCTCCTAGAAATATTGCTTCGATGTATTAAGTGTAGCACTGTTTCATAAAGCAAGTTTTATTTAGTTGGTACTTTAGGAAAGTTTTTTTTTGATTTTTCAAGCAGTTTTTACAATAATTTGGAAACCTATTTTTTCCTGGAACAATTTCATAATTTTACATTTTTATAACTTGTGTATTCTACAATAATCTTGCTTGAATAAAAAATGACGAGAGACCATTTATGTTGGATTTTGGATGTATTATTATATATTGTTTTAAAAGCAATATTATTAACCAAGCTCCGCTTAGAATCGTTATTCGTTAGCAATGATTAATTATTGCATACATATATAAATTAAATTCTCTTCTTTATCCTACCTTCACTACTCCTCACCTACAACAGTGGCTTACCCATTTTCATTATCGGCACTTTTTCTTTTGTTTGATGACACTTTTTCTAATAAAATGAAGCTGCAACCGTCAACTTAAGAGTGTTTATTTCTGGTAGAAAATTGGTTCTAATTTTTACTTGGGGTAGGGGGGAATAAATTTACGAGTACTTTTTAAAACAATTTATTGTTAATAGTAGTAACACCATATTTTATTAATTTTGTTTTTGTTCAATTTATATTTATATTCAATAGTTTAATTTTTATTGCAATTTAAAATACTCTCAATTAGTTTTGTAATATGTGTAGTATAAACTTTAATTGCGGGCAAGCATTCAGTCTGACGCGAGCGTGATTGTACCACAAAATAGAATAACGGCATGGCTAAATATATAGCTATGATAACACAACTTTGTGATATCAGGTACAATGGCCGCCACTGGCAGTGAGTCCCGTTTTATTTCAATTTAGCTGTTATTAAATATCACTGCTAGCCGAGTTTTCTCTCCGTGAAAAGTCATGGGATAAACAGTTAATGTGATAACACTTACATCATGGCTAAACAACTTATAAAAAGTTATTTATAGCCACGACCTATATATTTAGCCATGGCATAATATATATTATATCCATTTTTTTTTTTTATAGATATCTATGAATAGTTTGTTCGGTGAGAGAGAGTGGTGGTGTCGTTGACACAGTGTTGCCAGGTTAAAACGTGAATGTTTAAATGAAAGGATAATATCGCGAAATATTCGTTTTTGTTCGTATTGCGGGAAATGTTCGCACCTACACAAATAATATTTTCCTCGGTAGTGATAAGTGATTAGCCATTATCACACAAATACACAATACTAAAATGTTATGTTGTTCATAGTCGTATTAGTATATTAGTTTAAATAGACGCATTTAATATATATGTCCACAGAATGGATTAATTTCATTTATTCTGATGGTTCTATGATATTGTCCCAGAATACAATATCATCTACAATGTTCGCCACCGACGGCGACCCATAAAGTAATAATTACTCTATGCGATAACCGTGCCGCCCATAAATGAGTATAATGCAGTGCCACAGACTGTGGTTGTATTGTATTTATTACCATTTAGTATTTGGTGTTTACCATCGCGGTTTAATATATAATTAATATAAATCGTATGTCTTAAACCATACAACCGGGTGATATTAGGTTATTTTTTTTCTTTTTAAAAATATTGAAAATGCATACATTTTTGTACGAAGCTAATTTTGTTTGTCTTTATGTTCTTTATGTTTACTGATCTCAAAGTTCGTGCAAATACGAACATGTTCGCACGCCTAGGCGCTTCGTACGTTTGGTGGAGTATTTTCGCGCGGGGTTGCACGGGAACGATGAATAGGTACCTAGATAGCTCTGACCGTATGTCACGTAACGCTACGACGTTGATTTAAGATTTTACGGACGGTTGTTATTTTGGTACGCTACACATTTCAATATTTGGTAGGGATACTCTGTGCATACAATTGTTAAACTAAATGGGAATGCTTGAGAATTGAACAGGAGGTTAATTGTAAGTCGTACTTTGAGGTCTAAAACAAAAAAAAATTTGGATTTATTAAATGTATTTTTTTTTATAAGAACATTAATTTCAAATTTTGACGAAAATCGTTTTAGAAAAAAATTTTGTGAAACAAATCTAGTTACTATATAAATTATAAAAATATAAATATCCATATAAATTGTTTCGATATATATATTTATTACACTATATTTGTTCACTATAATATAGTATATTATATTATATATTGTTGAAAAATCAATACTATTAAACAAGGTCCGTTCAGGATCGTTTACCAACGATTTATCTTCGCTTCCCAACCTCTCATCTACAACAGTGGTCCATCCATCGTGCGAAGTATGGCAGTCATTTTTTGATTTATCTTCATACATACCTAGGTAAATTGTATTCGGGGTTGCATGTCCAGTTGTGCTTCCTTATGAATAATTTTAATTTAGAAAAACTTGAGAAAAATTTATACACACCACTTTTAAAACTTTGTACAATTTTTTGTTTTTTTAATATAAATCAAATGTAAACTATTTAAATTTTATTAATTTCATTATTATCTTAAGATTAAATATCACTAGGTCAATTTAAAAAAAACAAAGTTAACTTTGTACAGTGTACACTATCATTTGATTATTTTTGTTTCTATACATTGATATGATAATGATTTAATTGTTATTTAAATTTGTCTGTACATAAATATAACTGTTACCAAAGCTGGGCAAGTTAACGATTAATTGATAACAAAATTAACTAAGTTAATTTTTATATCTGCTTTAATATTAACTTATTAATTAAAAACAAATTGTACACTTTTTACTCGTAATAAAATTAGCATTTCTACTAATCAATTAGGATATTACAATAAAACACATAACAATCGTGCGATGACACAATGTTATGTAGTAACGGTGAATATGACCAACGGGTCGCGGGGGCTAGTTTATGATTTGTCATATCTGTGGCTATAAATAGTTACTACCTCTACAAAGTATTTATTCAATTTACATAAACCATTTAAACGATAATCTAGTGTAATAGCCCCGAACACCGATTATAATATAATAACAGCAAAAACTTATAAACTATACGAAATTATATAAAATGAATACGAAAATACCTAGGGAGAGCTCTGTTCAGGAGACTCGACAACAAAATAAGTAGTAATCCCGGATTGCTATGTCCCTCCCCTCTAAAATGAAAATTCCATTTTTATAATTAGCGTGGAGTTTTCAATTTCGGATAAAGTGGCGCAAGTTGCTCTTCCTCCTTGATAATGACTGGATGTGACCCATGGTAGCCGTTTGTCGTGGTTCTTTGCTCACGTGGTGCCAAGCCCTGATTTATGCATGTACACGCGGTGTATAAGCACAGAGCCCCCAGATTTTGAGGACCAATTCCCATTCTATAAAAAAAAATATTACTTTTTTATATTTTATAGTATACTTTATATTTTTAGTGGATATACGATTGATAAACGTTTAATAAGCAATTACAATATGTATCAAAATGTTAACATTTTAGATTCTGAGTGGAGCAAAGAAGCTTATGGTTTTACAATGATGTTTATTATTATTATTTTTTATCTATGAATAACTTTTATACTAGATATATTGCTTCTACAAGTGTAGCATTTTTTCTAAAAGAAAATCTGACTCGGATGGTAGTTACTTTAGAGAGGTCATTTATTGATTCAGTTTTCTTAATAAACGGGGAAAAACATGGGAAAACGGGAAAATAGGTGCGATATTAAACAAATATTAATGAAGAAAAGGTTTAATGCATATGCAATTATTTTACCATAATATGAAATATATATTGTTGACAAAGAAACATTTTCAATTGAACTCCGTTCAGAATCGTTTTTTCATTAGCAATGGTTAATCATTGTTTATAGATGTACATTAAATTCTCGTCTGTATTCTACCTTCTCAATTTCCCACCTACAGCAACAGTGGTTGCACCCATATGCAAAGTATTTTAATTTAATTATATTTTATGTATCTATTATATTTTGCACTTAAATATATTAAAACTCAAATACGGTTTTCTTTAACTAAAGAAAAACTGGATAAATTCTTTATCGTTATGGACAATCAATCTTTTGAAACATTATCGCTGAATT